GCTGTCCCCTTCGGGTATCCACTTCGTGCTACGTTGCATGCGGTGCAAAAATTCCTGCCAGATGGGCTGTGCCTCTTTGTCTGATCTTGATCGCTTTGTGTCGATCTTCTGATTTCCGATGCTTGTGCACTTTGACTAAACCCTAAACCCTAAACCCCAAACCCTAAACCCTAAACCCATACTTCGGCAGAGTCAGCTGCTAGCAAGCCCTGATTCAAGCCAGGAGTCCCTAAGGAGGCCTATGGCCTGTAACCCTAAACCTCCTCAAACGCACACCAAGCCCCTAAACAAGAAGACACCCACATATCCTAAACTACCCTTCAAAAAAGACATTACCAAATTCCGAAAAGCATCCCCCCTCAATAAGCCGAAAGCGCAAATTATGCCTAGAAAGACTCCTGTTGCTTCGAACCCTACGCCCTACACCCTCCAAACCCTAAGCTTTCGAAACCCGAAGCCCCAACCCTGGGCCCTAAAACTTTCCATCCCCAGAGACAGTTGTCCGGGATGCGGTCAATCGAGAGATGGTCTTCGCCAATGTCGCAGACGTCGTGGAAACACTACATCGCCTTCAGTCTCGACAACGTCGTCTTTTACATTTGGCTAGGCTGGTTGGTGTGGCGATCGAAGAAACTCTTACATGGATGCCTATCCCGTCCAACTCTTTGGCTCTGAACGCACCGACCATGGAGAGCTCGCTCTGGGGCTGCATTAGCCATGAGGCGAGCTACGGGATGCGTTCCTCCTCCAGTGGCACGACTCAAGTCACACTATCTGCAGCAGCTCTTCTCCAACCCGGCTTCCCGGTTGACCTGACAGAGTTATGGAACTGCTTGCCTCAGATGGCCCCACATGTGATAGTGGGACTAAGACGCCGAGCTTGGAGGCGACATGCACGTGAACTACATGTCAGGGCAGATCGACCAGTACCAGAGGGAGGTTGGCCAGCTGAAGATGATGAGACTCTCTATCTTATTCAGACGAATGAAAGTCAACCAGTTGGTGATTTTCCTGGTCATGAGACTCTGCCACAGTTGCCGGACAGACGACATCCTCGCAATCGACGACGTCTTCATGCTCCTCGCCCACCTCCTCGTCTTCTACCTGGTGGCTCATTGGGAGATGTTCTTGAAGCGGTTCCTGCTGCTGAGCTTCGAGATCGTCGACCGTCTCGGAACAATCGTGCCCGTGTAAGTCGTGAGCGTAGTCGCAGTCGAGATCATGCTGGAAATGCTTCCTCTTCATTGGAGCCTGTCTCGAACCCAGTGTTGCCCTCACATCCGAGCACTACGGCTTTGTCGTTTTCGCCTGGAGTTGACTCTCGTCCACCACCGGTACTCAGCTCTCGTCGTCGTGACATTGAAATCGTGGACTGATGCATCGCCTCGCCTACTGAAAGTGTGAGCAGGGAGTTTATTGTTCTTTCGGATCCGTAAGAGGCCCGAAAGTAGTGCAGGCCAGAAATTGGCTGGACCTTCTGCGAGAAAAGGCCCCATTGCACTTTAAAAAAAAAAAAAAACTTTCCAACCCCTAGACCCCGAACCCTTAACCCCAAACCCTACACCCCAAACCTCAACCCTATAGCAAACCTTATGAGAACCGTTATAGAAACCCCTTCAAGGACCACTTTAGAGGAACCCTCAACCCTCGAAAGCCTTAAGCCGACCCTTGCAGGACCCAACCAAGTCGCTGGTCACCGTGAGATCTCTGAACTGGCCTGGATACATCGCTTACCACGCTTGGGGCCTCGGGGTCTCTGATGGCATGGTTTACTGTTCAGGGCTGAGGGTTTAGTTTAGGGTGTAGGGTTTCGGGTTGAGGGTGTAGGGTTTAGGGTTTAGGGTTGAGGGGTGTGGTCTCGATTTCTGTGGAGTTTTGCCACGGCTTAGGGTTTGGGGTTTACGGTTTTTTTGTTTTGGTAGTTATAGTCGTGTGGCATGTGCTGCTGCCGTCTTCGACAGAGTTGGCCTCTTTTGTGAACTTTTCTGCTTGTGAGCCATTGATCCTGAACCAGGTATGTGCACGGCGAAATGCATCCTTTTGTGACACTTGATTCGTCGTCACCCCGAAAACTCCAGAACACTCACTGCGACTGCAACTACGACGATGATGACGACGACGACTACACACTACTGGTAGTATCAGCATCTTCACTTTTCATGAGTTTTCATCAGTGCACTGTGTTGCATCTCTTGATCGTGATTGCTGTAGGGGCCAAAATAACTGCCAATACTATGCTGAGCCCCTCCTTATGTTTATAGTAGCATGGGCCCCAACACCCTCTTCTTATTGTTGAGGCCCCTACAGTATTCACCATGATGGGAACGTTTCGGACGCCCAACCCCCAAAGTTCCAGAATGCTGGACTGAGGGGCTGGATACTACACGAGATACCGGAGACTCTGGGCCATATCGACTTACATTAGATAATATAATGTTACATTGTACTATACTATACGCTGCTACGCTAGACTATATTTTACTATGTTATACTATATTATACTAGTCTAGACTGTGCTACACCACACTATACGGTACTATACTTTGCCATAGATGTACTATGGGTGAATTAAGTTTAATTTACCTACATACTATTGAATAGCAGAACACGATATTATGCTATTTTACCATGTTGTATTGTACTATATTAGATTCCATTGCATTCTGTTGTGTTAATTGTAGTTTCCTGCATTGCATTGGTTTGTACTATTTCATCTGAAAAACTAGGATATTTCATATGGTATGGCATCATGCGATGTTGTATTTCGCTATGTTGTGCTATCTCGTAGAATGTGTTATATAGTAGGATGTTATGTTACAGCATTGTACATGACACATGACACCATGCTGTATGATTTCATCTTACAGTATACTTGACTGTGCTATACCGTATATTTTGCTATACCAGTCTATACCATCCTTGGTTATCAGGAACAGGGGGCTCTGGACCCCGCAGTAGTAGTGCTTGTGATACAAGGTGCGGGGGAAGGACTCTTAAGCCCAAAACAAAGCAGCAGCACACATCCCAGTGAGCCTTCCCAAAGCCACAGGTGCCGGCAACGAAGAAGTTCGGCAGCGTCTACTTCGGGTACGCGCAGAAGGATCTGACATTGTGAGAGCCCGAGCCACTGGAAAGCCCTTGTCCTCACCATTTCCGGTCAGGACTCTCTTCGGTCGGCTGTGGCTGCTTTTTGCTGTGTCTTCTATTCCTCCTCCCCGTCGTAGTCAAACTTGCATGAGCAAACCTTCCTCTTCCTCCTCCATCACCGTGGCCGTCATCATCATCATCATCATGAACATGAACATGAACATGAACATGAACATGAACGAACATGAACATCATCATCATCATTATCATTATCATTGCCATGAGCCTCCTCAGCACCGTCATCATCGTTATCATCTTCAACACGTTAACCGTCATCTTCAAAATCATCAACGTCATGTTTGTCACCATCCTCACTGTCATCATCGCTATCACCACTACTACCATCATCAGCAGCACAACGTTCCATACTGTGGCGGCGGCCTTCAAAGATACCACGGGAAGACCGTTTGCCTGTGCTTGCCCACTTGTGTATCAAAAGGAAGTTGCGATTCTGACTGCGGTTATTTTGGGTATTTCGATTGCCGATGTCGTCGTCAGTGTTGTGCATGCTTGTGCTTAGCATGTAGTAATTCGTGATGTCTGTAAACTTTATATAGCAGGATACTGTACGCGTGGGTGGACTTCCGGTTTGCTGACAACGTGTAAAAGAGGGGGCTGGGGCCTTCAGGGAAAAGGCTTGCTTAGGGTAATAGAGAACGATGAACAAATTCTCTTACAGTACTAGTCGAGAAGGATCCGTTACTGCGCTTAGACTATACTCATTCTCCAAACTCTGGTCTAACTGTTAAGGCCCCTATTTTATACAGCCGTTCTCGAGCCCTTATTATAGAACACTCTACAGGTATCCTCCAGGAGTCCTATTGAAATCCTTAAGGCCCCGTTTATGAATTTGTTTCGGCAGCATAAGTCTTTCGGGGTGTAGGGCTAAGGGTTTAGGGTCTATTGGGTTTTGGCTTTAGGGCCCAAGCCCTAAACCCTTTCGTCTTTAGGGTTTAAGCATGGGCTCTGCAAGACCCACAATTTTGGAGTTGATGTCGTAAACCCTGAACTCTTACCGGAGCTGATGCAATCCTTATGTGAAGCCACTGCAGGCCCTTCGTACTCTGAGAAAGAGGCCTGGCAAGGTTTTCGGGGCCCGTGGGTTGGGGCGAATTGGGGCCCAGGGTTGAGGGTTTAGGGTTTTAGGGGTTCACGGTTTTAGGGGTTCAGGGTCTCGGGTTTAAGGTTTAGGGTTTAGGGTTTTGGGTTTTGGGTTTAGTCGTTTAGGGTTTCAGGGGATGTTGAGGCCTGGCGTCCTTGTGGTTCCAGCGTTGAGTTTTTGCTGAGAGGTCTCCCCCTAACCTTAAACCCTAAACCCTATAGAGCCCGTATGGATCCCTTTAAAGGAGCCCATATAGATCCCTTTAAAGGGCTTGTAGTTTTCCATGTGGAGTGTTCCGAGGAGTCGGGCTCAGGAGCTTTCGGGTTAGAAGAGTTCCATATGGGAGTTGCCGAAAATTAGGGATACGGTTTAGGGTTTAGGGTTTAGGGTTTAGGGTTTAGGGTTTAGGGTTTAGGGTTTAGGGTTTAGGGTTTTGGGGTCCTTATAATAAGGGTCCTGTCATTTAGGGTACCACATTTGGGTCCCCTGTTTTTGGAAACTCCCATATCGGCTTTCTACAGGGTCTTTCCGGGTTTCATGAGGGTTTTCTGGGGCGCAGGGTTCAGAAATGTCTGTAGATTTTACCCTGCCTCCATTGCTATTCCTATGGTCCTTAGCTATGTCTGTACGCGACTGTGATTGGCCCAAGTCCCCCGTGGAAAAGGGTCACAAGGGTTGACTTACCGGTAACTAGCCGTGTCTAGCTGGTAGCCTGGGAAACTTCAGGTTATCAGCCGTAGTTAGCTCCGTAATGGACATCGTGCCGTTTACAACGGCCGCGGGCAACAACGGTGACGGTGGTGTTGGTGGCAGACAGGAGCAGGAAGCGAACCAGTACTTCTTGCATTTGTTGCAGGAGAATACTCAGGTGAACTTGTTCGTGAATGACCCCCGCATTCAAAGTGCCTTGGAGCTTCGCGCGGAACAAAGACATCGATTTGTATTGGACAACGTTTACGCCGAAGCCAACGCATACATTGCACACCTAGAGGCAACAGCGGATGCGAACCATCGTCAACAGCTAGCATTTGTGAGCCAATCCACACACCTATTGGTGGGACAGCTACACAATGAAGTACGAGTGCTAGAGACAATCGCCCGAGCAGAACGACAATCAGCCAATGAGCTGCAGGCACAGCTGGCACGCGCACAAAGGGAAAGTCATGATGAAAGGTCTATGGCCATGCAGTTTGATGCACATCGGTCCGAGCTGAAAGCAGCAGCGCGCACGCTCACTGCGGAAAACAGACAGCATGAACGCCGTTTCGCGGAATTGCGCTCGAGTATCGAAGAAAACCACAGTGAGATGATTGCCTTTTTAGGGTCTGAGTTTGAGGAAAAGCTTCAATGGGAAGAGAATGAGTACTACCATAGGCTAACCTCTGAGGCACAGCAGTACGATAGCTTGGTTGATGACCTGCAGGACAGGAACGCGGAGCTTATAGCTGAGGTCGACTCACTCAGGACTGTCTTGTCGACAGCGGAGAGTAGCCCACCGCAAGGTGGTGCCGTGCCGGTGAAAGTCGATCCCAGTGAGAGCTCCAAGCTTCAACCAAGCCCACCGCAAGGTGGTGCCGCAGCGCCGCTTGTTCAGGGTCCTAGTCATTCATGGATTCCGACCCTTCCGAACCCCAGGGAGATTCCTGTGTCGCTTCGGACGGTTTTGGGAAGGACCCAACGGTATGACATTGGTGAGCCTGAGGATTCCAAGGCCCACAATGTAGCGGTATCTGCTGCTGAACAGAGTGATAACAAAGAACCGGCAGAATCTACTGAAAACAAAGAGCCTAGCGTACTTCTCGCTGAAGCACTCAAGTCGGTTATTCAGAAGCCTGATGATGACAAACCCAAGGCTAAGGAAGCCGAAACGGTGAAGCTACCCGACTTCCCTAACCCGGAGACTTACAGGAGCTGGAAGATCACAGTTAGGGAGGCCGTTCGGGCAGCATCGGACAGACCCGATGAGGCATTCAAATGGGTTCAAGAGGTTTACTCCAGGGACGCCGATCCGGAGAAGTTGAGGGACACGGGTAAATTCCTCACTTTGGATACGAAGATCCTTTCGGCGCTTTCGAGGGTCGCTAGGGGTGATCTTGGACGACAGATCATTAACTACAAGGAGTCTGAGGCAGCTGCTGGTAGGGCCGTTCGTGGTAGACAGGTTCTACTGATGTTCGAACACTACTTTAAGACCAACGAGGAAGCAGGCTCCCTCTACTCTGTAGAAGATCTACTCAAGGTGCAGTTGAATGGTGATGACCTTAGCACTTTCATTCACAATTGGGAGTCGGTCATCGCGGGGTTGAATCACCAACCCGAGGAGACTACACTGAGAGATATTCTACTTCGGCAGCTTCGCAATGCTAGCAAGCTCAAGTTTGATCTGGAAGTTTACGACAGGGCTAAGGAAGGAACAGAGCAGCGCACTTACGACTACTTGGTCAAATGCTGAAAGAGCTGTTGGCAAGAGATAGGGCTCGCAAAAACCGCACAGCAATCGCCAAAGCTCACGGTGCCAGATTTGGTGCCCCTGCTCCTTCCGATACCCCGAACACCCCTCGCGGCCGAAGCCAGGACAAGCCCTGCTACGCTTTCCAGCGTGGGAAGTGCCCACGAGGTGATAAGTGCCCATACAAGCACGTGAAGCCTACTCCTGAACAGACAAGGGGCAGAACACCTCCACGTACCCCTTCGAGAAAAGGTGGAGGTAAAGGCGGTAAAGGTGGGGAAAAGAAGGACACCTCCAAGATTCCTTGCATCTTTTTCCCCAAAGGCACCTGCAAGAACGGTAAGAATTGCCCATTCATGCACAAGGATGCCGCTCCCTCTGTCCCGGCCAAAGGCGATAAGGCTGGCAAGGACGGGAAGAGATCGCCCTCCGGCAAGCGCAGGCGACCCAGTAAGAAAAGGCCAAAGAGTGAGGACAAGCCAGCCGCTTGCTGTCTTTCCCTCACAGCCACCCTCACGGGTGAGTCACTGGCCGATGCTGTGAAAGCCTACGCAGTAGCAGCCCGCAAGGGCCCTGCCGGAAAGCCCCGAAGCAGAAAGGTCCAGTTCCTAAGGCCAGAAATCATTGACATCCCGCCTGAAGGTGAAGGCTGGAGCTTCGTACCAGACAAGCACAAGTTCGAATTCAGGTACAAGTCTGCGGAGCTATGCCCACCATCAATTCCAGAGGACACCGAAGAAGCTTTGCAGAATGCCCGTCACTTGGAATCAGCAGTGAACGGGATGAAGCTTAAGGTTCGGGTCAAGTGTAACTACAGGTGTCGGGGTAGAGAAGGATTCTGCATTCACTGCAAAGAAGCAATTCCCCTGCCCCAACTTGCTGCAGCGGCGGTGACAGGTGAGAACCTCGAAATCATCGCAGACACCGGTAGCGAGGAAGATCTGATTAGTCACTCTGATTTGGAGGCCCATTTCAAGGGCAAGGCTAAGAAGGTTGCTTCCAACCCAGTGAGTTTGATCACTGCTAACGGACCAGTAGACGCTGATACCAAGCATGAGGTCTACATTGAGTCATTGAGGAACCCATTGCAGTTCGTTGAGCTCCCCAACACACCTGCAGTTTGCTCTGTAGGAAAGAAGTGCATGGAACAGGGGTTCTCTTTCCACTGGCCAGCGGGTGAGGCGCCATATTTCATTTGCCCAGACGGTCAGAAGATGATTTGCCAACTCCGAGGCAATGTTCCCGTATTTGGCGACCGAGGACCATTGATGGCATGCTTAGCGGCAAAGTCCTCAGAATCTGATGGCAGCAAGGTTGCACCGACCTCTGTCAAGTCTGGTTCGGGTTTTCGGTAAACAGCTGCCCGCAAGGGCACGCCGCACCAGCTAGGGGAGAGCACGAACATGAACCTGAAGGTCCAGCTGGCGCGGCAGAAGATCCCATCGAAAAGATGGCGAATTGCATTCCTCCCATTCCTGGGGTGGAAACGAGGCAACTGCTAAAGGCAGGTTGGACTGTCATCAACGGCAGCCCCGCTGCTAAGGTGGCACATTTCCCAAAGACGCTTCGAACACCGGCTCCTAAGTTCCCAAGATATAGAATCCGGACTACTTGGGGATTCAAGGATGACGTGTGGTCTTTGTTGGAGGATTCAGTCAACATTGACGAATTGGACGGAATCTATGGGGAAGTACCTGAAGGGACTATTGCGACTATCACATTGTTTGCTTTGCCTGAAGGGGAAGTTGAGGCGCAAGCCGACAGCGATGTCGAGCCATACACAATGCCAAAGTCTAAGAAGGACGAAGCTTCCTTGAGGGCTGAGGCTGTGTCTTTGGAACATCGACTTACCCATAGACCAAAGAACCCGTTCTGCCCGATTTGCCAAAGGGCCAAGATGTATGCGCCCCAGGCGCGTAAATCTGGTGGATCCTCTACAATCTACAGTAAATCGTTCGGTGACCACATCACAGTAGATCACATCGTGACCGCTGATGCCAAGGATTACGGGTTCCAAGATGAAACCGTGGCTCATGTTGTGAAGGACGTGTATTCTAAGTTTAGATACGTGTACCCTTCCAAGACAAAGTCTGGTGAGCAGTGCTACGAAGACATGTTGCACTTCCTTGGTACAGATGATGAGGTAAAGGTTATATATTCCGACAATGCGTTGGAGTTTGACTTTGCGGCCAGACAGCTTCGCGCTCGTCACAACACTTCTAGGGAGTATGTGAACGAAAACAAGGCCGTAATCGAGCGAGAAATCAGAACCATTTTGGAAGGCACACGGGCCAATTTAGTGCAATCAGGACTTCCAGATCGCTATTGGCCTCTTGCATCGCAACATCATGCTATGTGTCTTAACATCACTGCGAGGATTGACAATGGTCAGATTCCGTGGGAAATCAGGTACGGTGAAAAGTTCAACGGCATGCGTATTCCCTTTGGAGCGAAAGTCCTCTATTGGGCCCCGAAGAAGCAACGCAAGCCTGAACGATCCAAGTTTTCTGGCACAGGGATTGAAGGTATATTCCTCGGGTATCACATCCAACCTGGTTTTATCTTCAAGCTTGAGTACGTCGTTGCTCCCCTACACAACATCGAAGCCGCGTTGGAAAACGAAGATCTACGTGTGTTTCGCACTAAGAGACTGGAGCTACCAGATGGTGACTTTAAGTTTCCGTTGTTGCAAGAGCCTGCCTTGGATAAACCACCAAGCCTTGATGCACAACATCACAATGTCCTTGATGAGCAAAACCCGCATCCTCCTCTGGAGGAAGGGGGGGGATACGATGAAGCCACAATTCAGGAACAACTTAGCGAAGACCTGGATGAAATGTTCCCAGAGCTATTTGGTCCTGATCGTGATAAAGATCCTCCGCCGAAGGACGCGAAAGAAGCCACCCGCAAGGGTGAGTCAAAGTCTGATTCCCGTGCAGCATTGCTTGATGATGTTCCGTTCTCTGTGAAGCAGAAGCTGAAGTCCAGCGCAGCAGTAGCAGCGCAAGAACCACCGTATGGTTATACGTGGAGTGGGGAATGTTTGGTCAAGAAGAACAACAAGAACCGCCCTAACGCTATTGATCATACTGCATGGAAGGCTATGTCGAAAAGACAAAGAGCAACAGCAATTGCAGAACATGAGAAGAAGCTACATGAGGAGAATGAGGCACTGTATCGTGAAGCTGTAAAGGTGGTACCTGCAATGCCAGTCCTACATGGGTGTAGCGAGGAACATCGGGAACGACTCAAAGGGCTATATGACAAGAAGCTTTTTCAGATCGCAGATGAGATGTATGCTGTTGTCGCCAAGGTCCTGTCGTCTAAGGAGATTTCAACAAACCCTAAGGCGCAGGCTGCCATGGACAAAGAATGGCAGAAATTGGTTGACAAGGGCTGCTGGGTACAAGGCAAAGTCAGGGAGTTCGAGTCGGTTGCCAACGAAGCTAAGAAATCTCAAACCAAGGTTCACTTTGGCAATGTTTTTGAGATTGGTACCCTAAAGGGAGCCGAGCTGAAAGAAGGCGACCCTAATCGTAAGTATAAGGGACGTTCGGTATTTCAGGGAAACAAAGTACTTGATGAAAACGCCGATCACGCGCTCTTCGCGGAGATGTCGAGCAGTCCTGCATCCATGGAAGCAGGAAAGATTCTTGACGTCTTCGGCTCACAACCTGGCTACGTCATCCAGCAGGCCGACGCCAAGCAAGCATACACCCAAGCCTTGTTCCAAGGGGTTGCCACTTGGGTACGGTTGCCTCGCAATCGCTGGCCTAAGGCATGGCAGGGCATGAAAGATCCTGTCGTTCCACTCAAATTGGCACTTTACGGACACCCCGATTCAGGGGGGATTTGGGAACATCACTGCGAAGCTGAGTTGAAGAAAGTCGGGTTCGAGGCAGTATTGACTGACATTTGGAAGAGTGTATTCTACCACCCGAAGAAGAAGCTGCTTTTAGTGGTATACGTCGATGACTTTAAACTCGCTGGCCCTAAGAACTCTATCAAGGAGGGATGGGACTTGATCTCGAGCGTCATTGATATGGATCTTCCGGAAGCCATTGGTAGATACTTTGGGTGCATGCACAAGGAAGAACACAACCTCAAGCTGCCCAAGGAAGCACACCCTTTTCGTCACGTGTTTGAGCCCGAATCATCAGCTGCAACTCCTGCTAGAAAAGAAGATTATTGGGACATTGACCCTGAGAATCTCATAGCAATCCGACATCACCGTTATCCTCGCAAAAGACTTTATGTCCCCAACGAGGATGATGCTAGAATGTTCCCGGGGATTGGCCCTCGGAGATACACTGTGGTGGCTAAAGCCACCCGCAAGGGTGAGTCGGAGGAAGTTGTTGTTGACAGTTGCAATCAAATGCGCGATCGCTGTCTTCAGGATTGGTGGGACGGCGAAACCTACTTCGACCTCGCAGGCCGGGAACAGTCTGATTTCGAGCTGGCAGTTGCAGCTGCCCGCAAGGGCAAGCCGGTTCGTAACAAGTCTGAGGCTAAAAAGGAGGCGAAGCAGAGCAAGTTTGTTACCTTGTCGCAAGACGTTAAAGAGAAGCCCGGTGCAATGACCAAGCCAGTCACTCGCATCACGTACGATATGAAGGACTTTCTCGACTCTTGCGTTGATCGGTACTGCGAGCTTGCTAAGGTAGAGCGTAAGACCCTGAAACCAGCTGCAACCCCCTTCCATGAGCTACGTGTGGCTTTGCCAACAGCTTCCGAAGGAGAGAAGGCAGGGCGCTTGCAACCTATTGCTAGTAAGGTACTAATGAAGATTTTGTTCGCTGCTCGCATGGCCAGATGGGATCTTCTAAGGGCAACACAGTCTTTGGCGTCGAGGGTGACCAAGTGGAGTCCAGATTGCGACTTGGGACTTCACAGGTTGGTTTGCTACATAAACTCTTCGCTTGATGTCACTATGAGCGGTTTCATAGGCGACAGCATAATGGATTGCAGACTGTGGTTGTTCAGTGATTCCGACTTTGCGGGCGAATTCGATTCAAAATCGACTACAGGATGTGCGATGTTTTTGGTCGGACCAAACACGTACTTCCCCCTCAATGCCTTCAGCAAGAAACAAACATCTATCACAATGAGCTCTACTGAGTCCGAAGTTGTAGCAGCGAACCACGGTTTACGTGCCGAAGGTCTACCTTGCCTGAGCTTGTGGTATTTCCTATGGCGTGGAGATGCCGGCCGCAAGGCCGAGCCAAGGGCTGAGAGGGTGGATTCGATAGTTGCACGCATTGACCCTGAACTTGACGAAATTCGTTATGGGTCCACTAGACCGGATGGGTTGTCAATCGCAGACATCAACGGCCTCTGTGTCCAACTTCCTGAAAGTTTCGAGGTTAGACATATGGAGGATAACCAGGCGACAATCACTCTTTTGTTGCTAGGGCAAGCTGGTGTTCTACGACATACTGATCGGACACAGAGGGTGAGTTTCTCATGGCTAAAGCAGCAATATGAGGTTGGGCATTTCAAGCTACTGAATGTTGGTACAGCCGAACAAGTGGCGGATGTGTTCACGAAGCCTTTCACTGAAAAGAACAAGTGGACGCATGCCTTGAAGCTTATTGGACATACAACCAGCGCGAACGTAGCCGGGTGCAAACCCGAGTCGAAGGTCGAGGTCGACAACAAGGTTTCGGTAGCAGCAGCTCCGGATGCATCAAAGGTTGTCGAGGACTTCGCTAAACAATCGTTCGAGGCTAACGATTACAGCTTCAAGACCTTCGAGAAGCTAGCTGGGCTTATTCGTACCAATCTCAAGGCATCATTGGCAAAACCGCGATCGTTTATGGCTTCTGAGAACATATCCAAATACTTGGTATTCGGCGCTTGGGTCCATGGTGGGTGCTTTGGTATTACCAACCGCACAAAACATTACCCATGGATTTGCAGGTATGTGAATGAATTTGTTAAGCGATCATCTCCGAAAGGGTTTACATGGACTTCGTTCGTGTTCAACTTCAATGGCAAGGCCCGCATCCACACGGATAAGTACAATCAGAAAGAATCGTGCAACCTGACGTTCTCCTTCGGTAACTATACAGGGGGGACACTGTGGATTGAGGGCGCGAGCCAGTTGGGACCACCGGGAATATACACAGATGATCATGGCAAAGACCACAAAGGCTACAATTGCAACACATACCGCAAGCCTACTCTGTTGCATCCATCGACAAAACATGGTGTACAACCCTACACTGGCGAACGACATTCCTTCATCGCCTACTCTTCAGGGGGGTACCAGAAGTTCAACAAAAAGCAAAAGCAATTCCTACATCAATCACAGTTCCTCTTGCCTACGGCTCAGTTGAAGCTCCCAGCTCAGAAGGCAATGGTTTGTTTGAGGTGTGTTGGTTCCCCTCTCGATGAGGGGGGTAGGCTTAACAAACCGTGTTCTCGTTTCGAAAATGATTCGTTTGCACACACATCGCTCGAGTGCACAAACACACAACAAACTGCAAGCCTTGACCATGAAATCTTGGCTTCCTTTATGTGTACGCCTGCCATTGCAATTTCAGCTGGTTCTGATCTTCTCGACTTGCCCGAAGCGACTTCTACGATCCCCAAGATGGCAGCCATCGTTGTGAGCGACGAGTTCTGCAGGGTCAACACCTCCGAAGCAGACAGGGCTGGAGTTACCAAGGCCATGAAAACCATTCTCCAATCCGCCGCCCTCAACAACGATATCATTTCGCTCGGCGCCGATCATGAGAGCCAGCTTTTGGAGTCGGCGTACAGCTGCGTATCCACACAATGCGCGGCTGGGGTATCCTTGACCCATGCCGACGCAACCTGTGTGGCTCTGCGCCAGATGGCTGACCTCAGTGACGAGGGACTCGCCAAGTTGAAGCCAACCGCAAGGTTGAGCCCCAAGGCCAAGCGAGCCATCATAGTCGTGTCAGACAGCTCCACTGCACTTTGCAAGAAGAACAGGCGGGGAGTGTTCGTCAAGGCCGACTTGGATGCGGAAGTGAACATCGCAAGCTGGACGCTGGGATGGGCACAGACTCGCTACACCATGTGTTGGGGTAAAACCTTGGCGTGGATTGTCTGGCAGGTCGAGGAGCATGTGAAGGAGCTCCGGAGCAACTATCCGGACCACACCATCGACGTGATCTGCTGGTGGTGCGGGAACGAGATCTCCGGCCAGTGGGGCTGCATCCCCACGCGGCTAGGACCGGGACTCGCCTACAGAGATCCCAATGTCACAACGGAGACCGTCGCACGGAAAGTGAGAAGGGCAGCGGATGTTTTAGCCGCCCTCGCGGGCGAGCCGGACATTGGTTTTGTGAAGGTGACTGGGCAGGTGGAGGCGGACTTGTTCCAACTCCACTCAGCCTACAACGACTTCAATGCCGCTATGTTCGAAGAGTTCAGGCAGCGCGGTCTGCAAGTGCAAACCGCGAGCTCCTTGGTCGAAAAGCTGGAAATGTATGACAGCTTTCACGCCAGTGAAGACCCTCGCAACCGCGAGTTATTCCAGACCTACTTGCATGCGACTTTCAATGCAAGCAGGAGCGAATGGCTTGCCCAGAAGATGACACCCTGTGTCAGGGCTTTGCTTGTTCGCTATGAGCACTTTGAAACTGGCTCCGGTGCCAACAATCCAGTGCTCGAGGATGTCCTCAAGCAGTGGCGTGCGGAGAAGGATCAGCTCATGAACCCGAAACAGGCAAAGCCAATGCCGGTCACCCAGGAGGACAAGATGTGGGAAGCCCCAGATGCCGCTGACGCAACCGACGTCACTAAGATCTCCGAGGGGCCACCCATGGATAAAGCCATCCGCAAGGATGTGCCAAGGATCGGTGCAACCACTGATGTTAGTGCTGTTGCGGAGTGCGTCAATGACATTGTCACCCAGGACGCAGACGGTAAGGTGTCCTACAATACTCCGGGCACGGTGGAACTGGTGGATGAGGGCGACCAAGTCGACCCCATCCCATCATCGGTTGGACGTGTTGTTGAGCCAGCGCCTCCCAAGAAGACTAAGAAGTCTGACCGAGATGAGGACGCCATGCGAAGGCTCATGTTCATTGATGAAAGCGCCCCGCAAGGGGCTGCCACTGTGCCAGAGCTTCCGAATGAGTACTTCTACAACGGCAAGAAGCACTTGATGAAGCCCTTTAACCCGGAGGACATTGTGGGAGACAGGCACGTGACATTCAAACACGGTGACCTGAAGTTCCTCACCAAGCTGCTGCGTGGCCATGAAATGGACGACTTCCCTGCATTGATCTTTGACCGTGGGTGCTGGGCAGACGTTGACACTCTGCTCCAGGTCTTCAACACGGCACGGAACGCACGCTGGGGTGTGAGGCAGCTGCTACGCGCAGCGAAAGCCGATAACAAGGGACGGATCAGACTTTTGGGCATTGATGTCCCCATGAAGGACACCCTGGGTCAACCGCTATTCCCTGTCCTGGTGAGGATGGCCCAAGGGCACAACTCCAAGCTCATCGGCAATAACCCGGACGCGGACTTCTTCCTCGCGACCAGGTTCTACAGCGGATTGTCCGAGTACGAGGCCGACCTGCAGAGCAGCGTCAGGGGGGTCACTGTGCTCTCCCGCGAGGATACCCCCCCGAAGCTCTTCCACCGCACGAATGAAAAGGGAATGAAGGGGATCCTCCGCGATGGCATGATCGCCGGCTCCGCACGGTCAGACAGGTCCCACAACTACCTGTCCCCGTACAAGTTGGACGACACCCACTACAAGAGTGGAATGCGCTCCAACCAGCCGATCGAGCTGACGATAGACACGCAGCGAGCAATCGCCGCTGGATGCGTTTTCTTCGTCACGGAGACCGACGGCGTCCTCACACGGGACAATGTGCCTCCCGATTGCGTGCTGTCCGCCATCGACACCAGCAACAAGAACCTCCCGCTCTATGTCGCCGAGCACAAAGAAGCCGCCCGCGAGGGTGAGCCAGAGCGCATTTTCCGCGCCAAGCGCGACTATGAGGAGGCCGCAGCAGCAAGCTCATCATCGGCACCGCCCCCAAAACAGGCGGCTATCGCTCCCAAAGCGATTGCTTCAAAGAAGATGCCGAAGGTGGTTCCCAAGCCCGCCGCAATCGCCGAGAAAGACGAAAGTATGGACTTGGATGAAGCCACCCGCGAGGGTGAGCCTGCTGATGCTGCTGGTGCATTCGACCTTGACGAAACCAAGGTTGAGGTTGAGGTTGAAGTCGATGAAGGCGATACAACGGATGCGGGTGAGGATGAGCCTTACCCACTTGGCTCTCACCCATGCCGCGAGTGCGCAGCAGTCGTTGCCAATGGCATGCTGTTCTGCCTCCGTTGCAAGGCTCCCCAGACGGATGACTCTAAGAAGATCACAAAGCGAGTCTTTGAGAATTCGAGACTCCGCCAGCGCCTTCTTGCCACCGCTGCGACCGGAGCCCAGAAGCCCATCGATGATCTCCTTGCGAGTGACCTTCGAGGCCTGGGCGAGGGACCAAAGAAACGTGGTCAGATGAGCGCAGAGGCTGCCGCCATTCGTGACGCCAAAGACCGAAAGATCAGGGCCGCCAAGTTGAACTTTGACACCGTGTCCGACCGCTTCGAGAAGGACGCGCAGTTCAACGTGAGGATGATGCAAGAGGGCCGCAACTTCGAGGACATGCAGAAATTCGATCACCTGTCGAACGCTGTGCTTCCCGACCCAGGACGCAGTGAGGAGCAGCGCTACTTGCGTGCCGGCTCCCATTATGGTGGTGGCAATGTCCCGCCTGCGAAGTTGGTCTATTATGCCCACTGCGAAGTGGAGCCGTTGAGGAACTTGCGGTTTATCGATGATACCGCGGATGTCCCCATCGGCTTGACCTACCTCGGTGCATTCCTCCCTCCGCGACTCTATGCTGAGGTGGCAGCAGTGAATGACGCTGCGAAAAGGATCCTGACTTTCGACGGCGAGGTCTATGTGTCGGCTACCACAACTGAAGGCATCACAACTGAGATCGGACAGATTCTTACCGATAGCCTCCGTAGTGCTCAGAACCAGACAGACCAAACGGAACGTTTGGCAGAGCGCAATCGCCAGGCCGCAGTCCAGAACCGCCCATCCCAAAAGGGACGTGGTCGCACGACAGCACCTGAGCCAATGTACAGAGGCTATACTCAGGCCCAGTGGGACGAGTACTATCGCCAGCGTCGTGGAGGTTACACTCAGGCCGAGTGGGATGCATGGAACCGCACCCATAGGCGCTGAGTCCTCATTTTTGATTTGCTTCGGACCTGCAGGGCTTCCCCGTTGTGCTTTATAAATGCTCGCTTTGGCAAGTCTTCAAAACCGTTGAAGCCCAGGGCAACCTGGAGCCATGTACTATCCGCCTTAGCTCGAGCAGCACGGCGAGGGGGGTGTAGATTTTACCCTGCCTCCATTGCTATTCCTATGGTCCTTAGCTATGTCTGTACGCGACTGTGATTGGCCCAAGTCCCCCGTGGAAAAGGGTCACAAGGGTTGACTTACCGGTAACTAGCCGTGTCTAGCTGGTAGCCTGGGAAACTTCAATGTCCGGGCCAAGAAATATTGACATTGATATTCACCCCCCCATCATCATCATCATCATCACCCTCGTCACCCTCATCACCATCATCGCCATCATTGCTAATAGTTGCAAGATGTCATTTCATACCCCGAAACCATAGGTCGGTTGTTCAGGCCCTATGAAACCGTGATTCCGGTCGCCAGGACGGGGAAGAACTCCACCTGAGCACGAAATTGCTACAGGTGATGACACTGCAGTTGCCTAAGTAACATAGAGTTCTAAGCTCGTACAGTGTAACAACAGTGTACCCTAAGCCTTGAATCCTAGTTATCACACACACATGTATGTATGTATATAGAATATATATATATATATATGTATATGTATATGTATAGGTGTAGGTATAGGTATCTGTATAGGTATCTGTATCTGTATATGGATATGTATATACGCATGTGCGGTATGATTTGCCCCGAGACCCTCGTCTAGTCATTAGGGCCCCTACAGGATGCATCCATTATGATCGTGTGCCTGCGCACGTCAGAAAGGATGTGCTACATGCATATGATGAACATGAAAAGCCCATGCAATCTTGATTGCTTGACTGCTTTGTGTCTTAAGACTCATTGTCTGTTTCTACCTTGTGTGCATGCCCCCGGAGAATCACTCCGATGTCGGCATGTGTGTGACTGGAATTGGGCCACTGGCACGAGAAAGAGCTCCTGATCTTCCGATGGTTTTTTCTTCACCCCGATAAAGGGAACTCCAAAAAGTTGGAATATGGATTAATGGTAGGATCCCCCTATAATTTGCCTTAAACGGGTTACGATAATGATATTCCAACTACTGTACACCCTGTAGAAAGCCGATATGGGAGTTTCCGAAAATAGGGGACCCTAATATTGTACCGTAAGTAGGATCCTTATTGTAAGGACCCCCAAATAAGGTACCTCTAATTTTCGGAACTCCAGAAAGTTGGAATATGGATTAATGGTAGGATCCCCTATAATTTACCATAGAAGGGGTTACGATAATGATATTCCAACTTTCTGGCTTTTACCTTATAGCCTCATGCCACGCCACGAGCCAGAAAGACACCTTGAAATGCAGCCTCAAGAGCGCTGAGCTACCCGTACACTCCTCCACCCAATGCCCGAAAAGCACTGCTTACTGGTGAACTTCGACTCCGAACACACGCTTCCGGCCAGAGCCCCTTAAAGGACTCCGCTCAGACTGAAACAATCTTCTTCATCGTCGGGCTTCCTGAAGGATCCTGCTGTGTAGGATCTCCTAAACCATAAAACCCTAGACCCTACACCCCAAACCCCAAAACCCTAAACCCGAAAACCCTAACCCTAAAACCCTAAAACCCTGAAGCCCTAAAGCCCTAAAACCCTGAAGCCCTAAAACCCTAAACCCTAAAATCCTAAAGCCCTAAACCCTAAAAACCCAAAGCCCGAAGACATGGGCTGAGGATCCGGCTGCTTAGGATCCGGATATAGGGGTGGTTGTCAAAATTATTGTCCCATTTTGGGTACCCTACATAAGACTTAGGAGTACTTAGAAATAATTTTCATTTTTTTGGTTATTATAATCCCTAAGGAACAGCTAGTATTATAATTTTGCCAGGGTTCTAAGTTCAGTATGTGCCGTACCTTTAATGGGGACACAAAAAGGGACCCTAATTTAAAGAACTACCCTTTTATAGGTCCCCTCTCCCTTTTGGGCATCGGAAGGATCTGAAGCTTTTGGGAAGATTTGGGAGTTTCCGAAACTATTAGACCCCCCCAAAAATGCCCTAAACAGGAGGATCCTTGAGGGGCAGAATAAGGTACCTCTAATTTTCGGGAAACTCCCATCTATGCAAGTATCGCCATGCCCAGCGGGTGTAACTCATCTGGGCAAACCCTCGCGTCTGTCAGTCACTTGATGACACGCTGCTACTGCAGCTTGTTGCTCACAGTGCGGCCGGCATGAGCAGCCTAAACCCGAAAACCTATGAGAACGGCTATCAAGCCCTGCGCCACCCCGTAAACCCTAAGCCCAAATATACTGAGGCCCCGGTAACCCCAAACCCGAGCAATGTCTCGCCGGGCTTTTCAGACCCGGAAGCTAGTACAGGTGCCATGTGGAAAGTTGTGCTGAGCATCCCTAAACCCTAAACCCTAAACCCTAAACCCTAAACCCTAAACCCTAAACCCTAAACCCATTTGGGGTTCAGGCTCTAGGGCTCTCAGCCCGTAGCCCTAAGCCCCAAGGAGCCCAAAGCGTGTTGGAGCCATGTGGCAAGTTGTGCTGAACGATCCCCTGGCTTGGTCCCTGGTGCTTCTCCTGGTGCACAGATGCTTGCATGGAAGTTTTCATGAGTATCCAGGGGTTTGTGTTAAGGGTTTTCGTGGTTCTAGGGTTTGGGCTAATGGGTTTTAGGAGTTAAGGGTTTAGGGCGAGTTTAGGGTTCAGGGGTTTCGGGTTTAGGGTTGAGGGTTCGGGAAAGAGGGTTTTCTTTTTGAGGCTTGGGATTCATAGTCAGGCCTTTCGGGGTTTACGCTTCTGTTAAGGGCTTTCAAGTTTTAGCATTGAGGCCTCGGAAATCCGCTTAAGCTTGCGAGTGCGTCCGATTGCGCGAAGACGCGGCCCTGGCGCACTGACATCCACTGCGACCCCCTCCGTTCTCCGAAGCATCCATGCCCCATCCACCTTTACGTGTCCGTTCCCCAGAGCATCCATGGCCAAACCGTGACAACGTCCATGGTCTAATCCGTGTTTGAGGCCAGAGCGTTATCACAAAGCATCACACACCATCGTAGTGCAGGTTTTTGGCCAATACGAGCAGTTTATCGACAAGCACCCGCAGCAGGACATGTTGGTAAAGTGTTGCACTTGCAAATTGAATCGGCCATGTTTCGCCACTGCAGCTGTCGGAAGCTGGCTTGGAGAGCGCACGAACCCCAAGCCCCAAAACCCGAAACCGTGCAGCGATTTGGGAGTTTCCGAAAATTAGGGTTACCTTATTTGGGGGTCCTTATAGTAAGGATCCTACTACTTAGGGTACTATATTAGGGTCCCCTATTTTCGGAAGCTCCCATTTAGCTGCTTTCTTCGGGGCCTCAGAGGCTTGGGTGTCTGCACGTGCAGTTCCAGCGATAGTTAGGGTTTAGAGGGTTTGTGGTTCAGGGTTTTCACGGGTCTTCCTCTACAGCTCTAGCTGAAGCGCCGACACGAGATGGTGCAGTATAGATGCCTTCATAATTCGAACAGGGTTCCTTTAAAGGGGTCTGTAAATGCTACGACAAGGGATCTATAAGGGCTTCTGAGTTATTCAGGGCTTTATGGCTTCGTAGGGTGTGGGGCTTGAAGGGCTCCAGGACTTCAGGGGTTTCAAGGCCCTTTTTTGTGTTTTGGGCTTGTTGTTTCTTGTTGGGGCTTCAAGGTGGGTGTGTTGTTCTTTGTTTTTGGTTTTTAGGGCGTTTAGGATTTCTGAACAACGAAGGCTGCGTGAATGCGAAAGACGTGGGCTGCAAAGTCTCTACATGGATGCGGAAATCTCGGATGCTTTGGCTAGGTTTAGGGTGGGGATGCGGAGGTGTCAGATGCGTCGGCAGAGACGGGAAGCTCTATAGAAGCCCAAATGCATACCCATATCGCTCCTTGTGGTTCCGGGGTATAACCATACTATGAATATCCCCAAACCCTCAACCCTGAACTGGGTATAACGAATGCTGGAAGACGCCTTACGCTACCCGCCAACGCCGCTGCATCATTGAAATATCGGGCCTGGGTTCCTCTTTGAGGGGTGGGTTTAAGGTAGAAGCCAGAAAGTTGGAATATGATTATCCTAACCCTTCTATGGTAAATTATAGGGTATCCTACCATGAAACCATATTCCAACTTTCTGGCTTCTACTGTAGGGCTTGGGCTTTGTAGGGTTTAAGGACCTTTTAACCCTCTTTCTCCAAACCTCTTTGTGTTCGAGTTGAGGAGTCCAAATCCCTGACCCGAAACCCTCAACCCTAAACCCTAAACCCTAAACCCTAAACCCTAAACCCTAAACCCTAAACCCTAAACCCTAAACCCTAAACCCTAAAACCCTCAACCCTAATCCCTCCCTCTAAACCTACAAGCTTTAACCCCAAACTTAAGCCCTCAGCCCTAAGCCTTCATGAAGCTTTCAGCCGTAGGATCCCTGAAACCCTAAACCCTCAAAGCCCCCAGCCCTAAAAACCCAAAACCCTAGAAACCCCAAACCCTAAAAGCCCCAAGCCCTAAAACAACCCAAAACCCTAGAAACCCTAAGCCCAAGCCACTGAACCGAGGAAGGCGCCGTCCAGGCGAGAGACAGTCCCTGACCCACGGGTGGCGCGTGTAAATGCTGCTTTGGAGTGCCTCTGTAGGGTTTAGGGTTTAGGGTCTAGAGTTTAGGGTTTAGGATTTAGGTGACATGTTGGAGAATCATTATCCTCATAATGTAGGAACCTGATTAAGAAACCTTGGGTCCTTACTAGGTTTCTTAACATGGATCCTAGTAGATTGGGCTTTTAGGGCCAGGGTTTCTTAATAAGGTTCTTATGATACCCTGAATGCAGAATGTTCGGACGTTTTTGGCTTCTACTGTAGAGGGAAAGGTTGGAACACTCCGGTGAACAGTTGTATGTAGTCCTTGGGATGAAGGCCCCCCGGGTAGGGTACAGGTACAGGGTGTAGGTCCAGCTGCTCGAATTCCAGACTCTTGGGGTTTAGGATCTAAGGTTTTAGGGGTTTGGGGTTTAAGGTTGTGTTAGAACAGCTTGCAGCCTTGGTCTTGGTCTTGGTGTTTTTGCGCCTGTAGTGGTCTGAGGGTGGTGATTGTGTCGATTCCTAATTCCGCTCTAGCTCCACGGTGGCACATTTAGTCGGCATGAATCCCCGGGCGGACTCAGGCACCTTATGGAGAAGAACTTTGTCTATGCGAGCGAGCTTCTACAACACAGCGTCTGCTTCGCAATTTCCGTGTTACTTTATGCAGATGGAACACGAATGATTCGCATTGGTGCAACTATTGTCTACGTGGTGCATGTTTCTGTTGCACACAGGTTTATCAAGATGTCTGCCGTCCACATCAAGGCGTACCTTGTTGTCCTCTTTATGATAGGAGCTACCGAGACACTGGAAACCAGACACATGGATCCTTCGGATGTCGCCATCATGCAGACCTTAAATGCCGTCTTCCGCGTTGGCATGGTGGTCATGCATATGGACCCTCAAGTACATGCTGTGGGTCAGATGGTGATGTCAGGAGGTGATATCCTGATCAAGATTCTGATGCATGGCTTCACCCCCGCCGTGGTGGCCTATGTCTGGGTAGAAGTTTTTGTGGCAACGGGAACTGTTATCCTGAGCATCTCGCTGGAGTACTACATGAGGGAGACCTTAGCCGCGCAGTTTCGGTCCCAGGACGCCGAAACTATGGTCGCAGGTTTCCGCAGAATGCTTCGTGGCATTTGTGATGGGGAGGTGCTGCTCGACGGCCAGCTTAGGATCCAGGGCCCTTGCGGCTGCATCAATCAGATTCTGTCAAGTCACGGGGACTCTGAGGGCAAGGTGTTTCCGGATTTGTTGGTGGACTGTGAGGAAGAGCACGCCCGGTTCCGCGATTTCATTGCCACATCCTGCAAGCTATGTGCATCACCGGACATGCAAGGAAGCATGCCGCCCTGCCTCCGTGCCTCTTTGCAAAGCGAACACAGCACACGGGTGGGTGTCTGGGCTTTGCCGCACCATACTTTAATACTTTTTCGGGACCTGTTACTTAAAGGGAGCCATTATGAAACAAACGTCTATACTTTTTCCCCCCCCTCTACTTCGAAGCCCAGCCTAAACCCCTAAAGCCTGAACCCTAATCCCCCTAAACCGTAAACCTCCCTGGCTACTTTAGAGCCCAGGTGTGGACCTTTTCCACGTCTCTCTTTCCAACCTCTTCGGCTCTGGAGACGACTACCACCTCCTCGCATTGAGACAGGACACGGGTTTGGCCCAGAGCCTCCAAAACCCCTTAATTAAGGAATATACCTTAAATTATAATAGGATCCCTAATATGATTTTAAGGTATATTCCTTAAGTAAGGGGTTTTGGAGGCTCTGGGGGGGATGTGGGGATTTAGGGGGTTCTGGGCTTCAGGGTTGCGGGGTTTAGAGCTTGGATTTTGTGGGTTTCGGCTTGGGGAGTTTATGGTTTAGGGTTTACTATAGGGGCCCAAAATAATCACCAAAACCCTAAACCCTAAACCCAAAACCTTAAACCCAATGCCAATACAATTTTTTGGGGGTGGGTTCCTTATTGTAATTCTAGTATGATGGTTGGGGCAGGACACCGAACCTCGGGAAATGCCCGATGCAGGGGTGGGAGCCATCCCACGGCAGCTGCTCCAGCGACTCTGGGCTTTAAGGTACCATACTTTAATACTTTTTTCTTAAATTAGGGTTTAGGGTTTAGGGTTTAGGGTTTATGAAATAAAAGTCTATACTTTTTTCTCCCTGGTTACTTAAAAGCCCAGGACTGGAGGAAAGGAGCAGGATCGGCTCGCAAGCCGCTTCGAGCTTGGGCGCAGCGGTTGAGGGTTCGGGAGGGGTTCCTTTAAAGGGGCCTACCGGAGGGGTTCCTTTAAAGGGGTCTATAGGGGGTTACTATGAGGGCTACTATAGACGGGTTCTGTTAAAGGGGTCTATAGGGGTTACTATGAGGGCTACTATAGCGGGGTTTTTAAGTTTAGGTTTCAGGGCTTAGGTTTCAGGGTTTAGGGGTGTCGGACTTAGGCACCACAAATAGACGGTCTTTTTTGAGGTCTGTGGCTTTGTGTCCGTGTGCGTTTGTCCTTACACAGATGCGGGAATTTCCGAAAACAAGGCCTACCTTATTTCGGGCTCCTTCTATAATGAGGATCCTACTACTTAGGGACTAGGTTAGGGTTCTCTATTTTCGGAAACCCCCATGCAGACCATAAGGTAGTGGTCTAAACATAATTAGCGCACAGTGACCGCCTAGGCGCCCTGATATAACTATGCCACAATGCTCACCGAAACCTTCTTCTCATTGTTAAGTCCTCGTATGATTGCAAGGCTTCTATAGAATCCTTATAGGTAACAAATTTCGGTTGAAAGCTCTAAATAACGTTCGACAGGAAGCCTAACAAGGCACTCTTCAAAGGAACCCGGAGACTCCAATGTCCTTTAATTAGGGAATATACGTCAAATCATATTAGGATCTTGCCACATTTTAAGATATATTCCTTAATTGAGGGATACTGGACCCTCTGGGAACTCGTCCAAACCCACTATAGGGGCTCCCTCAGTAAGCCGCTAGCCCAACACTCTTCCAAAAGAGACCGGACATCCTCAACCCTAAACCCTAAACCCTGCACCCCAAACACTGCTAAACCCCAAACCCCAAACCCTAAACCCTAAACCCCAAATCCCAAAGGCTTTAAGCCCTCAAACCCTAAACCCCAAACCCCAAACCCTAAACCCTAAGCGAAAGCCCAGGAGCGACTCCGGTACTTCGGCTTGCAGCTTTCTACAAACACCGCAGCAGCTGGGCCCTTGCAAAAAAAGGGGCCTAAATAATTACCATAGGGTTCCTTTCAAACGGATCTATAAGGAGTACTATAAGGGCTGTTATATATAAGGATTTCATACTTACTAGGTCCTGTAAACCTTCAGAGCCCCATAGAACCGTTTACAAAGCCCTAAACCCTAAGCCTTTAACCCTCATCCTCCGAAACCTACACCCTAAACCCTAGCTAGACCTTAATCCCTAAACCCTAAAAACCCTAAACCCTAGACCCGAAACCCTAGACCCTGAACCCTTACAGGGAACTCCAGAAAGTTGGAATATGGATTAATGGTAGGATCCCCTATAATTTACCCTAAAGGGGTTACGATAATGATATTCCAACTTTCTGGCTTCTACTGTATCGCTGAAACCCGAAAAACCCTAAACCTTAAACCCTAAACCTAAAAAGCCCTGAACAAAGCTAACCTAGGCTCGCCGAGATGATGTTGCTCGTCAACGCCGCGAAGAAGCACCAGGAGGTTTGTCAGGCGTGTAGGGCTCAGGGTTTAGGGCGTAGTGGTTAAGAGCTTAAGGGTCTACTACTGTTTAGGGTTTAGGGTATAGGGTATGTGTGTGTGTGTGTGTTTAGGGCTTCGGGTTTCGGGTCAAGGTTTCAGGGCTTTGGGCCCAGGGTTGAGGGTTTGGGGGATGGAGCAGATCATGGGAGGTTTTGGGTTTGAGTTTTTGGATTCCTTTAGGGGTTTCCTCTAAGAGTTCGATTGGGGTTTTATGAGAAGTTCCTTGCGGTTCTGTAGGATTTTCGGGTTTATTCTTCCGGGTTTGGGAGTTTCCGGTTTGGGGTAGTGGCGAGGGTCCTAGTTGCACTGAAGGTAACAGTAGTTTTCGCCATTCTAGCAATAGGAAGCTAAATCGCGTCAACACAGAAAAGAGCTCGTGAAGCAAGTCTAAAGGCCAGTGGTGGTAGTGGTAGTAGTAGTAGTAGTAGTAGTAGTAGTAGTAGTAGTAGTAGTAGTAGTAGCAGTAATCGCCGTAGCCATTTTGGCTCAAGTCGTGTACTTCCCAAACCGCGTTGGCGCTTTGCATCGAGCGCAGCTGACTTGAGAGTAGACCTGCAAAGAAATGGCTGGCATTACCGAAATTTTGAGCACAGAACATTATGCCACAAGCCTTTCTACAAAGCAGGCTACCTATTTAAGGTACCAGGACATCGATTGGACCTCTTGTGCTGAAATTGCCTATGGAGATCTTCTTACATTCGACCGCAACATTGGACCATGGGTAAGCGTGGAGACCAACGTGTTCACAGGGCGTGGACCAAACGCAGTCGACTTGGTCAGGCCGGTACCAGCACGTCCAGTTGAGACAAACATCGTTCTAGTTGCGACGGGCAGATTTGACTTCACTCCAGCAGCACCTCCAGTTCCACTTTGAGAGAATACTCTTTCACGGTTGACAGGGCGGGGGTGACGCGTAACATGGGACCCACTCTGATTCTCATCCCGACTCCTAACGCGATCAGGTTCTTCTGCAGATCGAAGGAGGAGGTGGATTGGCGCAAGATTGTCACCGACTTGTTCCTGGATAGAAACGGCTTCGATAACAGCGCGGCGCAATCGTTGGTGCGACGCGCATTACCCATGCTGCAGCCTTACGTAAAGAGCACCACACTTTGGACAAAGCTTTGGTGCTTCCAGAGGATGAAGGAGGCGGAAATGGTGGCAGGGTTGACGGCTTTCATTGACAATGCGGGCAGCAACATAGCGGGAGCAGGAAACGCAAACGCACTTGTTGCCTTCAATGGGAGTGCGCTGATTATCAACAGAGCATCGCTGAATGCAGCGGTGCCACCTGCAATGGTGTCGCCAGCAGGAAGAGTGGCCCAGCATGCAGTCTGGATGCAGGGATAGTGGATTATCTGTTCAACGGCGCTCCACTTGTCGGTCCGCTTGCAGCGGGATGGCCGGCAGCACAGCCTGGTAGACGCCCGATTGACGTAAGTCAGATGGTTGTAGTCGATGATCCAAATTCGTTGTTGGAGGATGGTGATATCCATCTTCTAGCGGCAGTTCTTGGATCGTCGAGGATGCAACACATCAGAGGCGTCAATCCTGCAACTTGGGCATGTCTTATGATCCTCGATTGCTAATAAGACAGGAGGTCTTCAAAATCGGATAAAAATCGGAATAAAATCGAAATAAAATCGTTTAAAAATCGGCGAAAATCGCATACAACCCCCTGCGCCACAGCCCGCCCCTGGGGTCCCCCGCCTCGAATACCTATCTGATTTTTATTTGATTTTTATTTGATTTATTTTTGATTTATTTTTGATTTTTGCTGTTCCTTCGATGGTTTCGATTTTTATTTGATGTTTATTTGATTTATTTTTGTTTTTTTATTTGATTTGTTTTTGATTTATTTTAGATTTTTGCTGTCTCTTCGATGATTTTGATTTTTATTTGATTTTCATTTGATTTATTTTTGATTTATTTTTGATTTTTGCTGTCCCTTCGACGATCAGCTACATGGCCATATCCTTGGCACGGAAGAAGGTTCCTACTGCTTGGGCACTGGTTCGGTTAGGGACGTCAGATGTTTCAGTCACAACGATGAGGCCTTGTTGTACACGAAGGTTTTTCTGACACCATCGCCTGAAGTGTCGAGTGCATCCAACTTCATCAAGCAAAAGCAAGCATTCTGCGCCTCAGTCAATGGCTCACCGACATCGCTTAACATCGACTTTTCAATGACAGCAGTGGCAGCGGCGTCGGCTTCAAGATACAACAGAGCGCTTTCACCGGTGCTGTTGCCAAACAATGGCTTGAACGGGATCATCAAAAGGACGGTGGTTCAATACCATGAATCAGGAAGTAACGTGGGGTAAAAATACAGAACTTCCACGTGCATCCGGTGCCAGCACCAGTTGGCAAAGTCCGTTTTCCGACGAGATCCTGTCTGCATCTGGTGAGTTGGCAAAGGCAACTCAGCGTGCATACGTAAACCACAGGCTTACGAACGCAATCAACGTGCCAACGGGTACTGCGCAGAATGCGGTATTGCTCGGGACATGCTGGCCTGATCATCTCGATTTCAGGGCAACAGCAGTCATGTGCAACAATGAAATTTTGCCGCCTGCACTGCGAACCAAGGCTGAGAAGGAAGAATACACGCTGGGCATCACTGTGACGGACACAGTGCAGTTGGTCAAGGGCATCAACATCAGGATCAACCACCCCACCGTGATACAGCAGCCTTACACACCAAGCGTGTCACTACATGATGGCACAGCAACGCTGGATTTTGACTTGGAGACATATCTTGCAATGATCTCAAAGACAGCAACATGCATAGCCGCGATCACCGCACTACGAATGGGCGTTGAAGGCGTTGCAGTTGGCGGTTTTGTGGCTCCGGGCGCAGTGACGCAGTACTCACCGTTGGTTCAGAATCCATTGGAGGAGAAGGCGCAGTTTACGACAGGAGTTCCTGCGGCAGCTGCGCACCCAGCGGAAACAGTTGTGGTGCCTGTGGCGGACAACAATGGTCTGCTTCAGTTATGGAGCGTGCCGGTGATGGACATTCAGAATGATGTGTTCACTGGTTTCATACTCCCACATGTTGCTGGCAATGCTGGCAACAGAATGAGAAATGGAGTGCTCAGCGTGAAAAGCGGTGTCAACAGTGTGGGCATATTGGCTATTGACTCGCAGACGGAAGTCCACGGAGCGCTTGGTGGCATCAAAGTTGACCCGTTCGCCAAGTACAGAACGAAAGGAGCACCAGTTGATGGGAGTTTGCCAAAGACAGAAGCAGCCAAGCTTGAGAAAGAACTGAAGAATCCTGACGGTGAAGGACAGCCTCCTGCTCCCCTCAATCCTGATGCTGCGGCAGCAGATGAGGGTGGCAATCAGCTCTGACAAACGTGCGGGCCCAACGACATGGCCGAGGCCATAATGGGCTTGGGGATAGAGCACAGTGAACTGTCAGTGTGCAGGGTAATGTTCAGGAGCAAAAAAATGAAGCGTCCTGACCACGTTTCACAACTGACAAATGTGCTGAGTTCTTATTTCCCGAGTTTCATGGTAGTTGGGGTGACCCGCAACGATGTTGACAGAGTCCATGACATTTTCAAGGATGCTGGTTTCACGCCTGATCTCAATCCCAGCAATCACTACTACGCCAATGCTGGCGTCCTTGCCCTTTCTACAATGCTAATAGTGCGTAGCTTAGTGCTCCGCTGGCCTTTTGATCGGACCCAACAAGATACCCTGGAGTTCATTGCGCCAGTCCTGAGGCAAACCAGGGTTGAGGCTGGCGCATGGGAAGCACGCTGCATTGAGGTAGGCTCGGCTTACCGTCATGCCGCAGGTCCTGGCCCCATTGAGGTTCCCACCACAGGCAGATGTTGCGAGCTTCAAGATGCCATCAATCGCTGGCACCAGCATGCATTTCCTCATGCACTCACGTTGGCCTCGTCGCAGGTGCTCCTCAGCATCAATAGGTATGCTGCAGCTGGCAAGTCCTTCCATGAGGTCCGGTTCCAAGACGAAGTTCAGCTTCCCATTTTTACAGAAGGTATTGGAATTGTATGGCAGCGATGTAGGCCTGTCTCTGCCGTGCTCCATTTTGGAGCGACTCCCCATGTTGGGCATTACCGTGCGCTTCTCAGGTTTAAATGAGCAGTGGTTCTTTACACAAGATGGCGTCAAACCCCAGCCCCAACGAATACTCCGGCAACATCGCACCAATGTCTATGCAATATGGCTCCAGCGCTCAACCGATCCTTCAGCCGAAAGCCACTCGGGTGTTCCTCGGTGCTAGAAATGGCAACGCCTATGGACTCTCCGGAAGAGCTGGCGATGTACGCGGCTTTTCGTCCCATGATGCCCTTCTCTGCTACGAACAGCGAGGCCAGCACGCGCGCCTCTGATCCTTCCAAGAAGCAGAGAACGGGCGACGGTTGGGGACGCCAGAAGCGACAATGGCAGCCCACCAAATCATGGAATGGATGGGGTGGCGAGGAAGTGGGCCACTCCGTGGAAGAAGAGATCGCCAAGCTCAAGGCATGCATTGCACAGCTCCAATGCCTTGTCTTACGACACGAGGATTCGATCAACGTTGCCAAGATTGAAGTGAGCCTTGTTGCACACTTCCGCATTGCCCACCCAACTCGCTGATCGCAAGAATCTTCACCGCCGCTGACACTGGAAGAAGACCCGGGAGCAGGACCCCAAGAGTGTCAACAAGCCTTTGCGCGCCACCTTGCTGCGCTGTGTCTTTCGGGAGCTGCGCACTCGCCTGACAGAGATGAACGAGGACCAAGCCAAACGCCTCCAGGCCCTTGGATGGTTCGACCCGGCAACGAAGGAGTGGGCGTATCTGCGCTGGAACGCCAATGACAAGGCGCTCGAGAAGGATCCAAGCAAGGCTGCGGCATCCTCTGACGCAATCCTGGATGCGCTGACGCGACGATGCGATCACCTTGCTTCTTGGTGGGGCCTTTTCGTGATGTGTACCATCACACATACATGGCAGGCAGCAGACCGTTAAAATGCCTGTTGAAAGGGACCTCCGTGATGAATTCTTTCAATTGCGCATTTACTTGATTCGCGGTGTTGACCTTGATGGCCTGGCGGCCCCCACTACTTCTGTGGAGTACTCTGCTATGGCCCTCATTGCGCATGGACAGGCGACGTGGCAGCAGCTGTACCGTCTCATGCGCGCCCTCCCGCGTGACTCCAACATGCGATGGAGGCAGACTTCACAGACAACCGTGAATCAGGATGCACCGCACCGTGTGACTGTTGGTGCCTGGAATCGTGGCACAATGACGGGCCTGCATACTACTACTGGGCTTCACCCCTGGAGTACCAGGGTCATTGCAGCAGTGATTCACACGTGGGACCCGGAGCTCCACTTTACTACGGTGACGATGTCACTGAATGTTGCGGCTGCCCCTCACCGTGATCGGTTCAACCGTGCATGCACGGTACACCTGTGCCTGCCCTGCTCTGTATTCCAAGGCGGCGAACTGCCCATAGAGGCAGCTGATGGTGCTACGCGGCTGTGTGCAGATGGGCCCTGTGGCCGCATTATCTCGGTGTGCTCGGCTACTGCCTTCCACCCCCGGAGTCTACATGCCACTCTGCCATGGGCGGGAAATCGACTCCTTCTCATTGCATACCATATTGGCATGAGTCACCGGCTGAGCTCTGTATATGTAGCTCGACTGCGGCAACTAGGATTTCAGCCAGGATTCCTTGATGCTGCCGAAGGCGGGGTAGATGCTGACACAGGATTGCCCATGCGGGTAGTCAAAATCTCAACACGCAGTGCCAGTGCAGGCTCCGCTACCACTGTACCAATGATGCGCCATGACATGCTGCGGTCGCACACTCGGACTGGATGCAACACGGTCTGCTCTCGAAGCACTTGCCAGCTTGCAACTTCTGAGTTACTCTGTACAGGATCTCTGATGCATAAAACCTCGATCTTTGTGATAACGTATTTTTCTCGACTGCTGGAGCTTCGGCTTGGGTCGGCAGACAGGTGCGCGTGGCTCTATCGGAGCGGCACTTGTCTTCATGTGTTTATAGTTCAAGATCCTCGGGCAACAAACGTGGTGATGTGAAAGCCGGGCATATGCCTGCCGGACGCCAGGCGGACTCCGTCGCGAGTGAGAGAGAGAGAGTAATCGTGATAACCCTCAAACATACAAGCACCATATAAAACCACATAAGGTGCACCCTAAACCCTCAACCCTTACAAAAAGCCCTAAACCTTAACCCTTCAAGCCTTTCGAAGTCGTAGCACTCCTACAACACAGCCTTGGCCCTATATGGGAGTTTCCGAAAATAGGGACCCTAATATAGCACCCTGAATAGTAGGACCTTCATTATAAGGACCCCAAAATAAGGTACGCCTAATTTCGGAAACTCTAACCCTAAACCCTTTATAGAACCCTGAAAGATCCCTTTAAGGAATCCTGATGGATTCCTTTAAAGGTACCCACCCCCCCAATTTCAGAAAACTCCCATTTGGGCCCCAATTTTCCAACACCCTCAGCCCTACACCCGAGACCTTGGGGCCTAAGGCCTAACCCGGGACTTAGGGCTCCTTTTAAGGGGACCTATAGAGTTCTATTAATAGAGTTCCTTAAAGGGATCTATAACGGTTCTAGAAGGAGGATCATGGGACTTAGTAACTAGGGTTATAAGTCAGGGAACTACAGTTATAATTACTTAACCCCGATTGCAGTACTTATAACACCACTTTCTAAGTCCCATGATCCTCCAAGTAGGGTTTACGTAAGGTTTTGGAAGCTTTTGGGTTCATAGGGTCGATTTAAGGTTTAGGGTTTAGGGTTGATTTAAGGTGTAGCGTTTAGGGTTGATATAAGGTTTAGGGTTTAGGAATGATATAAGGTTTAGGGTTACTTAAGGTAGAGCCTTTATTGAAGGTTAAGGGCCTGGGTTTATTTGAAGTTTGGGGTTTGGGGCGTGCGCTCCCAACCGGGAAGGTGCACCTGAAGTACAGCGAGAGCACACCGCAAGGGGGCAGCGCGCCAACTTTGAGAAGGATCGCCCTAAACCCTAAACCCAAACCCTAACCCCCAAACCCTAAACCTTAAAGCCTTAACTCCAAACCCTAAACCCTGAACCCTGTTACTATGTCCGGGGGTCTTAAGGGGGTTTCTATAAGGGTTGCATATGAGGTTCTATACGAGTTTTGCGAATTAAGGGTATCTAATTGTAAGGTGTTCGAAAGCTGGGCCCCTAGATGTGCCCATTGGTGAGTAAGGGCTTCAGGAGTCTCAGATTCTGATGCCCGGTGTAGCATGAGGGTTTAGGGGCGAGGGGTTGGGTTTGGGTTTAGGGGTTAGGGTAGCGCAGCCTTAGGTTCTAGGAGGCCTGGACACTTAGCAAGATAATCACCCTGCCTTTAGTTGTTGTATAAAGCCCAAAACCCTATTTCAAGCGTTTTTGCTTCTGGCTGCAATCGACATCTCCTGGGCTATGAGACTTTCTAAGCCCAGGGAGCCCAGCGAGACCGAGCCAAAGCTAAAAATTCTGAAGAAGCCACCAACAAAACCTGACTCCCGACACCCGCACCCCGCCTCCAAAAACCATGCAAACAAAAGCCAGGCCCTAACACACCCCTCAACAAACGAACCTGAATCCCAAGCAGCTTGCCAAAACACACAATCATAACACCCCCACCAAACACTCATCCCATACCGAACAAGTGTCTGAGCAAGTAACAAAGGTGCCTGAGCAATTGCCGAAGCCATGGTTATCACCGCGTATTGTTGTCATAACCATTATCATTATGACTCTGCAGTACGAGGTATATAGATATAGGATATAGGATATAGTATTTAGCAAATAGCATATCGTCTGTAGTCTGTAGTCCAAGGTCTATAGTCTAAACATCTGTACATACATAACTATAAACACATATATATATATATAGATGTATATATGCATCTTTTATTAGTATTTATGTATTTATGTACGTCTAAACTAACTTTATGTAGGTATACACACATACGCATACATACATACATATATATACATATATATATATATGTATATGTATACATATGTATATGCACATACATGTATATACATATATACATACACACGCCCGGTCGTTGAACCCTCAATTTGCCCTGAATCCGGACCCCTCGGCTCTAGACCGCATTGCGTTTGCATGTGCGTGTAAATATATGTCCGCGCACGCGCACAGAAGCCTTGAAGCGCAGCTGGAAGCCCAATAGAACCGTATCAAGGCCAATGAGTGAAGCGCTACAAAAACTCCCCGTGGCTCAAATATAGAAACTTGAATCCCTAGACCCTGATTCCCCGATTCCTAAACCCCAAACCTTTGATCCCTTATCCTGAAAATTTACGCCCTAAATCCCAAGCCGGTACGCTGTCTGGTTCTTAATAGGGAAAATTGGGGAATGGATATTGGGTACTACTATTGGGGATTATCTAGGGACTACTATTAAGGGGCCCCAAAAGGACATAAGCATAAGCATTTTATAGGGATGTCCCCTTGCTTATTGGGCTTCTTTACAAGGGGGTTTATGGGGCCCTAACTGTAGCGATCCATTTCCCCCATTCCCTACTAAGAACCCGGAGTCATCGGCCGGTATTCTGCAGGGAGCCTTATATCCTGAACTCCAAACCTTCAATCTCTAAACCTTAAATACCCCAAATCTGAAGTCCCTAAACCCTAAATCCTAGGCCGGTATTCTGCAGGAATCGTGAGCCTTAAATCCTACACCCAAATCTTTAATCCCTAAGCCTAAAACCCCAAATCTTGAAATTTGCGCGCTAAATCCTAGGCCGGTATTCTGCAGCTTCCTAAACCCTAAACCCTCAATCCCTAAATCCCTAAACCCTAAACCCCTAAATCCCTAAACCCTAAACCCCTCAATCCCTAAACCCTAAACCCCTCAATCCCTAAACCCTAAACCCCTAAATCCCTAAACCCCTAGACCCTAAACCCTAGGCCGGTATTCTGCAGGTTCATTCGGCCCACAGACTGGGACACAGTTCGCAGCCGAGCCTTGGGGGCCTAAAGAGAGGGGTTTGGAGGCTCTTTGTTCAGTTTTGTGGTTTGAAATTAGTTTAGGGTTTAGGGTTAATTACTGCAATTACTTTAAACAGAAATTTTGGTAATGGTTTTTATAAATATAAGAATTTCCCGTATTTAAAATTGAAACATGTGCTAGATGCGGGGTAGGTTTAGGGTTTAGGGTTGCCTAGAGTTTTTGGACTTTGGGACTTAGTTCGTTGAATATACACATCTACATATATATATATATATATACATACATACATATACAGATATATATACATACATACATACATACATATATATATATATATATATATGTGTATGTGTATATATATATATATATACGCATACATACACACATACCACATACATGTACATACACACACACACACACACACATGTTTTTGTTTTTTTGAGGCAGGGGTCTGGGGTTGAGGGTGCAGGGCCTAGGACCTAGGGACTTAACCGGGGATTTTGGAAGTAGGTTTCAGAGTTTAGGGTTTAAGTGTAAGCGGGGTTTAGGGTTTATCTGGGTTTGGTGTCTCGGGCTGTAACAAAGTTGAGGGGAATGGTGGAAATAGAACTGGCCTTCGAACCCAGGAGTGAAGCAGTATGGGAAGGAGGCCGCGGCAGATCCGTCATTGAAGGCCTCTTACTTCAGGAGGGGATTGTGGTTTAGGATGCTTGAAGACCCCAGGAAGTGCCTTGCCTCGCTCATTGGCATCTCTTTTTTTTGGGGCTCAGGTTCAAAGTGTGTTCGTCCGGAACATGCGAACGTAGGGTTCTGGATTGTATGACCTTGCGACAAGTATTGTATCAACTAAATACAGTATCACCCCCAAAGCAGCCCCGAGTTTAGGGGTTCGAGGGTTTAGGGGTACAAGGTTTAACCCTAAACCCTAAACCCTAGGTTTTCGGAGTTTGGGGGCTTCAGGCTGCAGCCGAGGTACATGCGTGCGCAGACAGCCAAACTATCTCTTCGCTCGCCACCGAATGCTGCAAGTTCGGATGGTCAGAGTGGCTTGCGTATTATTACAGAAACTTTTTGGCTGTAAACTCAACTTTTCAACTTTTGGGGCTCTTACAAGGTAGTCGATTCTGAAAGTTTCAACTTTTATGTCCTTGGGTTTTGGGCCAGTGAGAGAAAGGGTTTGGGGTTTAGTGGTTTAAAACGGTGTAGGGAGCACAAACCCAACCTAAGCTCGCAACCCTAAACACTTAAATTCTGGAGCCCCCTGCAGCCCAGACCTTAAGAGCCCGAGCTGCATGTAAGTCTTGATACCTCAAGCCACGAAGTCTCACAGCCCTGGCAGGCAAAGCCCTAAGACACTGGTCGGCACAGCATAGTTCAACAACCCCATCCTATGCCCTTTCTGACCCAAAACCCTCAAGCCATCTATCTGTCCTCAACTTCTCAAAACCCCGTGATCTTTGGGCAACCAGGGGAGGAAGTCCGAGTTTGGCTCTACCTGACGGACTTCCGTACACCCGAGCAACGTGCAGCTTCCGTGCTTCGGCATGGAACTGATACGAAGCAGTATCCATTGGCACAAAGAGATTCGTGGGGTTTTCAAGACTCTTCATGGGGGGCTTAGAGCATTTTCGAGGGTGCTTTTAGTGAGGGGCTTCATAGGATTGCATAGTTTTTCAGGCTTAACAGGGTGTCACAGGGTTGCATGGTGCTGAATGAAATATGTGGGCGTACCTAAGCAAGCACAAAGCTGGGCTTAGGGCTGATGCCTAGGGCGAAGCACGGAGGGTAGATTACCTTTCCGGAATCGTATTCTTTAGCCTTTGCCTTACTTTTTCTCGTTCTGGCGCACCCGATGCGACGAGAAGTATGTGAAAGAAATGTAGCGAAGAGACACCCTAAACCCTACAAGCCGTATCGGGAAGTGGCCCATACAACAAGGAACCCTAAGGAAAAACATCGGTAACTATTTAACACCAAAAGCACCGAGACTTGATAAAATCTACAGAATTCCGAAATGGGAGTTTCGGAAATTTAGGGGTACCTTCATTTTGGGGTACTCAGTAGGGTACCATATTAGGCCATTTTCGGAAACCCCCACATAAGCCTTCAACCTCGACCTCTAAATCTTGAACCCCGGACCCTGAACCCTAAACCCCCTTTCGCTCTCAGCCATAGCCTGGCGAACAAGGTTGAGCTGGAGGGAATCCGGGAGTTGCAGGACTGAGTGTGCCTGAGGCTCGAGGGTTAAGAGCGGTTCGTTTTTTCCGTTTCGGGCGCAGAAACCCAAAACTATACAAAACCGTAAACCCTCAGCTATACGAAGCCCTAAACCCCAAAGCCCCCACGCCTTCAACCATACAGACCCATAAATTCAATCCTCTACACCCTCAGTTGTACAAAACCCTAAATTCTAAACCCTAACCCTAACTCATACAAAAAAACCTTAAACCCTACCCCCTGTAGTCCTTCGCTGTACAGTCTAGGGCATACTGGTCTCGCTTCGAGTTTTGAGCCGCAGCTTCTACATACCAGAGACTCTGATAAGCCCCTCAACCGAAGACTGCGATTGTACGCCGCACGCCATGATAGTTGTTTTTCGTGGAGTTTTGGTATCGTCTGGATTAAAGACTGTATACCTTGACGTATATCTTGTCAGCGGTTCTGGACGATTTGCGACTATTTTTTAAATTCAGGGTTCGATAAGGGATATAGCTTAACATCACCAGGCCTTACCATGACACAAGGTCCCCCTCGATAGGTCATTCCTCAAGCAAGGGTTATAGAGTCTCATGGTTTCTGTTTCAAGCACCGAGCCATTTGAGGGGGATGCCGTAAACCTTGAACCCGAAAACCCGAAAACCCGAAACGTTAAACCCAGAACCCTAAACCCTAAACCCTGAACCCTAAACCCTAAACCCTGAACCTAAACCCAAAAACCCTGAACCTAAACCCAAAAACCCTGAAGCCTAAACCCCAAACCGGAGCTGGAAAGTGGAGCTACGGGCTCCCCGGGTTTTGGACGTTTGGAACAGGAAGAGCCAAGGCAGACCAGAACCCACGGGGTTTAGGGTTTTGGGCTTAAGGTTCAAGATTTAGGGTTTACTTAGGGGTACTTAGAAATAATTTTTAAATTTTGGTTATTCTGATCCCTAAGAAACAGCTAAAATTGCAATTTTTGCTAGGGTTCTAAGTTCAGTATAGTTTAGGGCTTCGGGAAATAAGAACTCGGTGGAAGACCTTGGGTTTCAGTTTTAGGATTTAGGGGCACTCTGCAAAAAGAGATTTAGGGTTTAGGGGTTTAGGGTTTTAGGGCTTTAGGGTTTAGGGGTTTAGGGTTTAGGGTTTAGGGGTTTAGGGGTTTAGGGTATAGGGTTTAGGGTGTAGGGGTTTAGGGTTTAGGGTTTAGGGGTTTAGGAGTTTAGGGTTTAGGGGTTAGGGGTTTAGGGGTTTAGGGGTTTAGGGCTTTAGGGTATAGGGGTTTAGGGGTTTAGGGGTTTAGGGTTTTAGGGCTTTAGGGGTTTAGGGGTTTAGGGGTTTAGGGTTTTAGGGCTTTAGGGTTTAGGGGTTTAGGGTTTAGGGTTTAGGGGTTTAGGGGTTTAGGGGTTTAGGGGTTTAGGGCTTTAGGGTATAGGGTTTAGGGTGTAGGCAAGATGCATCTGTATGTGGACAGAACATACCTCCTTACGCAGGGAATACCGGCAAGACTTCCCCAGCAGCAGAATGCTGTCAAGCTCGCAGTGGCCAGCCCCAAACCCAAACCTACAAACCCTAAGCACAAAAACGTAATCCGACACCCTCGAGCAACTATACGGCTGGTGTGTTGTATGACGACCATGATGCCCCACGCAGAACAGGCCCTGTGACAACTGCTACGCCGGTTCTGTGGATGTCGCGCAGAGCTCTGAAAACGAGCTCTCAGCATACTCGCTGCTTGCATCCCCTCTGTCTCGGTCAAGCTCGGCTTGTAAATTTGGAGCTGCCAGCCGGCCATGCTTGTGAGAGTTTCCGAAATAGGGGACCCTAATATAGTACCCTAGATAGTAGGATCCTTGTTATAAGGACTCCAAATAAGGTACTCCTAAAATTCGGAAGCTCCCAAGTGTCTCACTGTCAGAGCAGACTTCGCTTGAATCGCGTGGTGTGCGGCAGTCGGAGATTCCCACTGTTCCGAGACTCGGAAGGTGTACAGCTTTGGGGTGGTGCCCCGACTTGTCGAAGGATCTTCATCCAAAGCACGATTGATGAAGCGATCAAGAAACACACGATCTTGCCCATGGTGGGTGTCCTGTTCGTTGCGGCCGCCCAGTTGCAACCCCCGACTGTCTTGAATTCGGGCTTGTCAGGAGAACGAGCAGTGTCAACTCTTAGTGAGCAAGAGCAGAACTCAATTTCGTGCCAAACCCTAAATAGTATTGCTGGTTATTCGTCTTCATATTAGCTCTCTTTGCTCCACGACTCGTCGAAAGCCGGAAATCCATGTATCCCTGTCTGCCTCGCCTGCATTTTCCGTGTCCGTGACCGCTTTCAGCCCAAGCAAGCTAGAACCATTTGAAAGCACCTTAGGGTCTGCGGGTTAAGGGTTGAGGGTTCGGGTTTCGGGGTATGCAGCCGAAGAAGCAGCAGCTTCACTTCCTGTTGTCCAGATTTTGTACGCCAATGGCCTTACTGCCCTAAACGCCGCACCTCTTATAAGTGTATATAAGTGTGATTCGTCCTATTCGTTGTACGAATATTCCCACAAAGCTTGTTCAAATCGCTAAGAAATCTTCCCTGAACCCTGAACCCGGCCCGGAACCTTGGTCAGCAGCTCCGGTGTGGCCTCATGGCGACCCGGAGGACGAAGAAGACCCCTGCTGCCTGGCTTGTGGCCGCCCGGAAGGGTGGCACCAATCTTCAGGATCCGGTTCGCTGAGCTTTGCGTCGTCTTGCATACTGGAGGGGCCAGTGTCAATGCTTCATAATCTAGCAGTAGAGTAGGTAACCTTTAACCTTTTTGGGTAGTATAGTCCCTACAAAATCCCTATCAAAAGGTTAAGCTTTAGTTCCCCGCGATACCCGACAAGTAGGATAAAAGTGCTCCGCAGGGCTCCTTGCTGCACTTATCCTGTTCTACATCTTCAGGCCCGTATATTAGAGCTTAGTGTGGGAGAGTTGAGCTGTGCTCCGGCTTGCGAGTCTTGCTTTAGAGCGAAAGGCGGGGCAGACTTGCAAAGTAGCATGGGCTACAGTCAAGAGTCAAGCGGTCAAGAGTCAAGCGCTTCAATCCTTGAAGCCTGTGTCCCACTTGAGGGTTTCCGAAAACAAGGGACCCTAATATTGTACCCTAAATAGTAGGATCCTGATTATAAGGACCCCCAAAGGGCACCCCCTTCTTTCGAAAACTCTAAACCCTAAACCTTTTATAGAACCCATATAGATCCCTTTAAGGAACCCTAATGGATCCCTTTAAGGGTACCCCCCTAATTTCCGAAAACTCCCACTTCTCTTGGCAGGAGGCTCGACTGCTCCTCAACATCCGTGACGCCACACGGGAGCGGCGGGGTGTGCGGCGGGGGCAGGGCCGAGGGAGTCGCAATCGTCTTTTGCAACGCTGAGGTATTGAACCGATTTTAACTTGCTGCGAAATTCCTGAATCCATGCTTGAGTTCGGATCACATGCGGTCATCTTCCGTTTAGACTCAAGACACGCCGAAAACAGTAAGGCGGTCGAAGCCACAGACCCACAACTGCTGAAACAGGAACACTTGTGGGGCACTCTCTGGAATGGTGACCATTGCCTTAGCCGCACCAACATTGCACTACGGACGAACAATGGTTTCTGAGCCTGCATCGCATAAGCACCAGCACCAACATTAGTGCAAACACCAACACCGACACTACCAGCCGGCGGCGGCGTCAGCCGCAGCATAGCATCAACACCAACACCAACAGCAGATATCAACATCAACATCAGCATCATCTTCATCGCCGTCGTCATCGCCAACATCATAATAGATAACATCAGTGTCATCATCGTCATCACCACCGGTGTCATCATATGCATAATTTTCATCAACACCCACTGCAAAACTGCGACACCATGAACATCACCATGACCATCAGCATCCCCATCACCATCACCATGACTGCATCACCGTCACCACCACTATCACTATGACTATCACGATCACTATCACCACTACCACCATCATCATCCTCTTCTTCATCATCATCACCATCATCCTTTTCATCTTAATCATCATTGTCACCAGCTTCATCATCATCTGCATCATCATCGTCACTATCATCATTATCATCATCCTCATGGTCCGACTTCATCGTCATTTTCATAATCGGCATCACCGCCTTCTTCTTCATCATCATGGGCTTCCTCATCACCAACATCCACAACAGAGCAACAACACCTTCACCATCGCCTTTCGCCGACACCACTGCCACCACCACCACCATCATCTTCATCACCATCACCATCATCATTTCCCTTGTCTTTGTTTGATTTGCAATCCATTTCACTACTTGCACCACCCTGCAAAGTACAATCTTTATCTCTGCAACTTCATACAAACTCGCACCATGTTCTTTCCCTTCTTTTCGGTCGTTTTCTGCGCCGCGCATTGCGTTGCCGCGAGGATGACGCCTGGGTCGCTGCCGCACAGGTGGATCCAAAATGGAAGTTGCACCTCGGTTTTGTATCAAGTCCTCACGCAGGGGCCTGGGGCCCCATTTACCACTTATAGTAAGGAACCCCCAAAATTATTGTATAGGTAATCATTAAGGCCCCTATATTAAGATGCATTCGTTCATGACGCGCCACGGTGCCACTTCTGGAAGTGCCCCTTTATTTGCTGGTGTTCGCTGCCCTCTCCTCGTGCTGTGAGGCGCGGGCAGACGGCACTGTACTTTGCCGCTGCACGGGAGGAGGGCTTTAGCAAGAAATTCAGCATAATCGCCGGCTTGACCGTGGATACTTTGGTCACACGGATGGATACTTGGGTACATGGATGTACTTGCCGCAATGTATTTCGCCCGGAGTCAAGTCGCTACTAGCCATAATTGCTCACGGATGCTTGAGGTCTTGGCAATGTGAACTGGACCACCTGGGCCCCCACCACTGCGCCCAAGAACCTTTTAGACCCGTGGTTTGGAGTTGGATGTAGCTATCATCGCCACGATGAGCTGGATGTATTGGGACGGACTTGACAGTGCTGCAGAGGCTTTCGGGATAGCACTAGGACCAAAATCTTGGAAGGGCACAGCGGGTGGCGGTGATGAGGCCCCAACGTCACGACAGGCTGGAATCAAGAAAGCAGTAGCCCAGCTTGAAGGGTCGAAGCGCAGGACGCAGTGGACGCCGAGAAGATCTCTCGATTCCTGATGAGGCCTTGTGCTGACGGGTTGCGCGATGGAGTTGGCTGGGTTTCGGGAGCATGCTGCATGAATGGTTCATCCGAGTTGTTCTTCCAGAGCCCCCTTCTCAGTACTGTTTGGGGGCCGTCCTTGCGGTGGCATCAGCAAGAGAGACTCCCGAACTCGTACACACCCCTTAGCCGAGCCACGCGTGTAGGCCAGAAGCAGTCACCAACATGATTGATACTTTCAGCGTACCTATAGTACAATGTACATGCCACGACAGCTTGTTATACATAGCAATGCCCCTATAAGAGCCTATATCGGAACCCCTCCCATAGACCCCAAAACCTTTCAAATCAAGAAATATACCTTGAATTATGCTCGGGATGCGTCGTACTTTAAGGCATTCCTTAATTTAGGGGTTGGAGTCTCTGGGCAAAACCTAAACCCTCAGCTGCCCAGTCGAGTGCGCGTGCCGGCAACAAAGAGAGATGACTGGGGCCAAAGCCCTCTGTTGCTCGGCTGTGTGGCATCTGTGTTCAGGTTTCCGATACGTTTGTCCATGATGGGACTTAGTAACTCTAACCCCAATCAGGGTACTTGTAGTCTGACGTACTATGCCGACGTCTCCCGGTCCCAAACGGACACACCGGCGTCGGGGCTTCTTTACCAGTCGTGCGATGTGCTGGGCTCTTCTCAGACGTCGTACAGTGGTTCGGAGGCCCCTGTCGCTTCAGGTAAGATCGTTCATGCGGCGCTCTCAAACTCCCAGCCTTCAACCCTCAGAGCTGTTAGCTCCAGAATCCTACAAGACACCAAATGGGAGTTTCCGAAGATAGGGGACCCAAATATAGTACCCTAAACAGTCGGATCCTTCTTATAAGACCCCTCAAATAAGGTACCCGTAATTTTCGAAAACTCCCAAATCTTATTGAAGCTTATTCGATCATGTTTTTCTCAAGTCAGCTTCTGTCCTCGGTCCAGAGCTACGGGCCTTCAAACCTCGTAGGGCTCCGACCCTTACATGTTTGTCACACAGGACCCTAAACCCTCAACCCTAGGACCCTAAACCGTGGGACCCTTGTAAATCCTTCTTGACATGGTTCTCAAAAAGTTTGCAACTTATAAACTAGGATGCCCAGTAGTACCCTTATTCCTTTTTGTAGTCCTAGGTTCCTTATAAAGTTACCCAATACCAAAAAGGGGGCCCTCTTTATTCCTAGGTTACTCTGGGCATCCTAGTTAGAGTGTCTATTTGACTGTTTGGCGTCTTGCTTGGCATCTTCTGTACAAGCTTTGTCATGACGTTCCTTCTTTTGGTCAATAGCTGGTAACTCGCGCTGTCTCAGCTTGTCTTCGTGTTGTCCAAGTTTGTCTTAACTTGTGGTCTTAATTGAGGCTTGACCTCCCCAAAGTCGAGGACTTTAAAGGGTTTAGGGTATAGGATTTAGGGTTTAGTGTTTGGAAGGGAGGTGCAACAGGAAGGATTCGCTTTGTTCCCGAAACAACCGCCTAGAGGGAGCCTAACCCCAAAACTTCGGCCGCTAACAGTCGTAACAATGATAACGCATGACAGAAGCAAGAGTTGCAATCACTATAGCAATAGTAGTGATCGTGATAAGGGCTCTAACGGCATTATTATTTATCAGCAAGCGCAAAAAGCAAATGCACCAACCAGGGCACTGTGCTAAACCATGAAGTTCTGCTCGGCATGATCTTGCCGCTCAGGTTCTTCGCAGCTAGACAAGGACACACAGCGCGACTGGGATGAGCCTTTAGGGTAGAGTGTGGAATGGGCTGCAATCTCGGAATACGGCTTCGAGATATTTGGAGGTTTTGTCGGTGTTATGAGCGGAGACTTCCTTGACCCTAAATGTTTGCGCATGCATGCAGAAGGTGTGGACCTGCGTACTTTGAGTCATGAAGCGTAGCTGAGGCTGTGTGCGTACTTCGTTGAGAAGTTGGGCATGAATGTCCATCAAGTGGACAGGTGGGGGGAAACTCCCATGTTTTATGCGATGGAAGCCAAGAAGACCGAGACGGTCACTTGGTGGCTCTTAATGTGCCGAGTGGTACACTTCTTGATGAGTCATTTTGGCTTGAACCCCGAACCCTAAACCTCAAACTCCCACATACCCTAAGCCCTAAACATCTCAATACAGTCTTAAGCCCCGAAACCCCAAACTGCCAACATCCAGGTCATATACCTGCTGAAGAAGGGTGCTTCGCTCGGGGTGAACAACCACAACTTCGAGTCGCCAGAGAGCCTTGCACCGGTGGACGTGGCTCGCGAGCTGCAGGCAAGAAAAGGGGTCGGAAGTTCAGGGTTTGGGGTTTAGCATATAGGGTTTATGGTGTAGGAGTCGGAAGAGTTAGTAAGGGTAGTCCTTTTAGTATGTACCTCGAAACCCCATTCTGCTCATTAGGGCTCGAACGTAAGCCACACCCCAAACCCAAACCCGAAACCTCAAGCCCTAAACCCCAAACCCCAAACTCCATTCCAGTCAGTCAGGCCCCTCTTTCAGGTCCGGGTGAAATAAAAATACTAGTAATAGAAATAATAGTACTGGTCATAATAACAAAAGTAGTACGAACAGTAACTATAGTAGTAACAGTAAGAATTAGAATAGTGGTAAGAACGAACAGAGCAATAATAATCAGAAGAAAACAAGATTGCTAGTACTAAGAATCGTAGTAATCGTAATAAGAATAATTCTACTACTACTAGGAAGAAGAATAACATTAGTAATAACAGTTATGATAACAATAAGAATACCAATAATAGTCCACTTGAAGCGAGGTCCGGATGAAGGAGTGGGCCGAGCCCTCAAAGGCTCCGGAGCGGTCGGGAGACACAAGGAAGAGAAGCTGGGCTCTTGTTGGAGGCTTCCTTGGAGGGTTTAGGGCTTAGGGTTTCCTTTGAGGCTTCCTTGAAGGGTTGCTGTAAGGGTTACTCTCGGGTTTGGGGTCTGCGGTTAAGGAGTTTATTTTAAGTTGCCATGCTAGGGATCTAGAATGAACAACGTCGTCTTCTTATTCTGGCAATTGAAATTAATTCCCTAACCCTAACAAGAACCCAGGAAAGAGGCCGGATGAGGAGGAGGTTGAGGAGCAAGGATCAGCCGCAGAGGGACCCCGTGCGCTGCAGGAATGGGCGGCAAAGCCTGCGAAGTTGCCGCGGAACTGGAAAACCCAGTTGGCTCGGGAGAACCTCAAAGGAGAGCCAAAAGTCATCGCTGACACGTTTACACACAAGGCTGGGTTCTTGTTAATTAGGGATTTCAGTTCAGGGTTTAGGACCCTGCTACGGAAAACCGTATTTGCTATCGATCCGTGTATAAGGGACACTTGAAGTAACCCTCTTAGCAAGAGCCCAGAAGGTGACACTGGTGACCAGCGACGCCCTGGAGGAGGTCCGCCTGCTGGAAAAGACGCTCGTGGCGGACCAGGCTGTCCTGTTCAAGAAGAAGCTGTTCGTCCGGTCGTGCAGGGCGGCCGACTTCTGCTTAGCACTGGGAGCCTATGAGAAGGATGGCCAGTTTTTTGCTGAATACTCTCACATTGTCGCGAATCGCGGCAAAGTTGGCTCTCTCGTGCTGGCGGCTTGGCTAATCCCTAAGCCTAAACCCTGGACCGTACACGCGCCAAACCTTGAGGTGGCTCGGGACAAAATGACCGGGCGCATCGTAGGCTTCGTCCACGCCGAGAAGGCCAAAAAAGAATTGCTGATTGGCCACCTCAAGGCGACGTGTTTCAGACTTTGGGCTTCGGGCCCGGGTATCAGGGCTTGGGGTTTCGGGTTTCAGGTTTCGGGGTTTGGCTTTCGGATTAGAATAATGATCCTACGAAGGGTTCCAGAAGAAAGTTTAAAGTTAGGGTCTGGGGCTTATAGGGTTTTGGGCTCCGGATTTAGGGTTTATGGCTTTAGGGGTTTGACGCTTATGGCTCGGGGTCCCGGGCTCAGGGCTTCGGGTTTGCGGCTTAGGGCTCAAGGTTTAAAAACGACCACGTGAGCGCTGTTCGGAAGCAATCAGCCACTCGCATTGTTCCTGACGGTTCCTTACTCGAAGTCTAGTTTAGCGAGTGCCCAAGTTCAGGGTTCTTGAGGGTTCCTTTTCAATTGCAAGTACAACATAGTTTACAGCCAAAGCATGATTTATGAGGCCCCCTATACAGGAACCCTAAGGGGAGTAACTATGACTCTCTTAAGGGAGCCCATTTAGCTGCCGCCGGCGCCCGGCGAGGTGCACAATGACCATCAGGGCAAAGGCGTAGGAACGCTGTTGATCCGCGCTGCCGAGGCTCAGGCCGCGGCAGATTACTATTTTTAATTTCGATGATGACTGTGATCATTATTATCATTATTCGTATCGCTAATATTAGTGTTGTAATTAGCGTAGTTGTGGTTGTAGTTGTAGTCGTAGCAAGTAGTAAGTAGTAGTAAGCATCGGTGCCAGTGTCAGTATCAGTATCAATATTAGCAGCCGCATTACTGGTTGTCGCTGTCATCATCTTGAGCATTGTGATTTGGGTGTAGTCGTAGCAAGTAGTAAGTAGTACTACGCATCGCTGCCAGTGTCAGTATCAGTATCAATAGTAGCAGCCGCATTCCTGGTTGTCGCTGTCATCATCTTGAGCATTGTGATGTGGGTTTGTAATCATCATCCTCCTGGTGTTCAAGCATCCGATAATCCTTTGCGAAGCAATCTTTTTCGTGGCTCTTGCAATTGCCACGAGGGCCAACAAGAAGTTTACAAAACACACATGAAGCCCGGAGCCTTGCGCTCAGACCCAAGAGCCCAGACATGAGCAGCAGTGTACATTTCGCAAGCGTTAGGCACCTGGACCCTCTTCCAAAGCCCTCTGCTCAAAGAAAGGATCACATGGGGCGTAGTAACAGGCTTATAATGCCTGGGGGACTCAACTTTGCTTCCGAGGGCCAGGGAGACTCCACGTCGGACATGTTATGATCTTGAAGCCCTGCCTGCCCGTGGAGGCGTTGACCGCAGGATGGGCTTTCGACTCCGTGGCCGTACGTGTGCTATACATGAACTCGCCAGCGCAGCAGAAATTTTTGCGATGCTTGGGCCGCCACGACTTTAGGGTTTAGCTTCAGGGTTTCGGGCTTAGCGATTAGCTTTAGGGCTCAGTTCTTAGGGTTTATTAGGGTTTAGTTATTAGGTTTTACGGTTTAGGGCTTACGTTTAAGGGTTGAGGGCTGATCAGGAGAACAAGGGAAAACTGCGTTCGGATCCTGTCGTCGCTCTCTGGTTCTCGCGCTCTATCTCTCTATCTCTCCATCTCTCCATCTCTCTCCATCTCTCCGTCTTTCCATCTCTCTCTATCTCTCTATCTCTCTATGTCTCCATCTCTCCATGTCTTTTTTTATGTCTCTCTCTCTCTCTCGCTCTCGCTCTCTATCTCTCTGTCTCTCTATCTCTCTATCTCTCTACTTCTCTACCTCTCTCTCTCTGTCTGTCTCTCTGTCTCTCTGTCTCTCTGTCTCTCTGTCTCTCTGTCTCTCTGTCTCTCTGTCTCTCTGTCTCTCTGTCTCTCTGTCTCTGTCTCTCTCTCTCTCTCTCTCTCTCAAGTTATACCGGTTGTGCTTTCTGCGCTCTTCTGCAGCTTTTTGCTGGGCTTGTCCTGGCCGTGCTTTCCTTGGCAGCTTGCGGGGCCGAGGAATGGGTTTCGACATCTTCGACGAGCCGGCACCCGAGACGACAATGAGCATGCTCTCGATGTACCTTCGCCAGCACCATTACAGTTCCGACCCTAATGTAGCAACCGGATTAAGGAACCCGGGCCTATAGCCCCGAGGTCGCAGGATTCATCGAAGGAGTCTTATTCAGGGCACGAGGTTTCTTAATCAGGTTCCTACATTAGCTAATGTAAAGGGGAATTAGAATAAGGCGTCTTTAAAGGGGTCTAGAAGGATTACTTTAAAATAAAAGCCAGAAAGTTGGAATATGATTATCCTAAACCCTTTATGGAAAATTATAGGGTATCCTACCCTGAAACCATATTCCAACTTTCTGGAGTTCCCTTCGAAGGGGTCCAGAAGGATTACTATAAAGGGCTTGTAGCCTAACCCTAAACCCTGACGGGCTCTGCGGTCGCTCCGAAGGCCGCCACGATCCCATATGCAAGCTCTCTGAGTCACAAGCATGGGGGTTTGGGGTATATCAGAATCTTAGTACATAGGGGGTTTGGGCTATATTAGAATCTTAGTACATAATTGTTTTGGGGTATATTTTAATCTTAGTACATAGGGGTTTGGGGTACATTACGGTATGCAGGTGCGTGAAGATGGTCCGCCGTGCTCAGCATGCCCCTGAAGCGCCAAAGGAGAAGATCAAGATCGAGCCATATGCTCCTCGGTTTTTGCAGATATTGGATGTGGTGAGCAGGTTCCCTCTTCAGCTCGTTCAGGATTTAGGGTTTAGGGCCCTGGAAACTCCATGACCTTGCAGCACGAGGTGCAAACGGCTTTGGCGCCGTGGCACTACAAGGGGCTGCGCGTGAGAAAAACGATCCGGTGCTGCCGCATGGTGGAGCCTCCTAAACGGGACGATGACTCCGCGACGGATCCGGAGATGCCTGAGTTGATCCCGGTCACGCCGAATTGGTTGTACTCACCGCGGGCTCCCAAGCTGTTTCTTTGCTGGCAGTGCTCTTGCTGTACTAAGATACTGTGCTCCAAGGTCTCCTGAAGAATTTGTTGAGGTGCAGGGCATCGACTTTTGAATTGTCTGCCGACTTGGATGTTTCAATTTCAAGTTTCACTGACCTTGCCGAAAAGATGGGACAGCGCCGCAAGTTCGGACTACTGCTAATTGCGCTGGATGGGGTCCTGCCAGGTCAGGCAGGTTCAACATTTAAGCCTTCGTCACAAGTGTGTCACCTCTTGGTGAGCAAGGCAGAACACGACTTCGTACCATCTGGCACCAAGCCCTATGAACCCTAACCCCCGCAAACAATAAGCACCAGCAGTACGGAGGGGTGAATGAAACTGCGCACATCTCCGGCCCGTGCTTTCGAAGCCTTGCCCTGCTACTAGTTCCTAAGGCTCCATGTGCCCATATAGTATATACTTTGGCCTCACAGTACCCATATAGGGACCCCTTTAAGGCTTAAGTATTTACTATAAAGGTACATGGAGCCTTTGGGATTACTACCTCTTACTAGCACTAGTACTATTGCTGTCTCTATTGCTATTAGTCTTAGCATGAGTATTACTTTTACTGATTATGAACTGTTAAGTACGATACGACTACTACTACTGTTACTCTGTTTCTTTTTTATTGTCCTTCTTATTGCTATTGCTATTCTGAGTATTCCTAGTCATGTTACTACTAGTGTAAGTATTTGTTGCTGTTTGGAGGATCTCATGGGACTTAGTAACTATGGTTATAAATAAGTTAACTATAGTGATAACTGGATATAACCCCAGTTAGGGTACTTATAACTGTACTTACTAAGTCCCATGAACCCCCAAGTAGACCCTAAACCCTAAACCCTATAGATCCCTTTTAAGGAACCCTATAGATCCCTTTCAGGAGCCCTTTAAGAACCCTTACTAAGTCCCATGATCCTTTGAGTAGCAGAATATGCTCTCCCATGGTGAGCGGGCCTTGTGCGACGTGATGAGATCCCACGCTCCCCACCGGCGCGCCTCGAGATCTGATGCTCAAAGTTTCTCTTTTAGGGTTTAGGGTATTGGGATTGGGGTTTAGGGTTTAGGGGTTTAGGGTTTAGGGTACTGGGATTAGGGTTGAGGGAACGGGTGGTTGCTTCAGTTGGTGAAACATGGTGGGTTGAGGGGCACATCGCCGACATCTGAGACCAGGCCCTAAGGTCTTGGAGCCTGGAGCTTTTCACGGGCCCCGGAACTTGCGCCACATCTCCTCTCGCTGGGATCACTGCAGAAGCCATGGCAGCTCCTCCACCTCCACCGCCGGATGGGCAAAGCGTCCTGCTCTTACGACGGCCGTGAGGTCTGAGCTACTTCGGACTCCCTCCCCACACCCATAATTATCTGTGTGCAGCCGCCTAACGCCAAAATCCTAGACGCCCATACTCAAATCTTGTTGTCTGTTTTTTGTGCGGAGCGTGTGACGTGGCTTACTGTGTGGCATAGCCTCAAACCCTAAACCCTGAAGCAAGGCAATCTCCTCGCCAATAAAGCACGGGGCCTGGCTTCCTGCGTCGAGTGGCAGTTGCCTTCATCATGATACAAGCATGTGGGTCTGTACATGTCTGTACATCCAACTCTGGTGCCAATTGGTGCAGTTCAGGGGCCTTAATCATTTGAGTAGGGGCTTTAAGCTGAAGCTTAACAAGAGAAGTTGGCGCTTGGTTCTACTTTCCTGGTCCCTAAAAGGAACTCCAGAAAGTTGGAATATGATTTCAAGGTAGGATACCTTATAATTTACCACAGAAGGAAGGCTTAGGACAATCATATTCCATCTTTCTGGCTGTTACTTTACAATGAAAGTCGTTGCCTGAGGTCTTGTTTGTCAAACCCGAAAACCATGATGCCATGATATGAGTGGTTGTCAAAATTAGGGTCAGCCTTTGGGTCCTTATTATAATACGGCACCTAATATTTAGGGTACCGAAAAAGGGGGCCATCATTTTGACAACCACCCATACGGTTGATGATATAAATCCTGCATGACCCTAAGGACCCTAAACTATGGGAATTATGGTATATTCCTTATTATGGGTAATGCAGGATTTATATCATCAACCGTATGCAAGCCTGAGCAGTTGCATCCGTAAGGTTCCTTGGGAGACTTGGGAGTTTCCAAAAATAGGGGACCCTAATATAGTATCCGAAACTGTAGGATCCTTATTATCAGGACCCCCAAATAAGGTCCCCTCATTTTGGGAAACTCCCATTCCGACGAAGTCTTATGATTAAGGTTGCTATATGGGTGGTTGTCAAAATAAAGTCCCTTTTTGGGTCCCTTTTATAGTACGGCACCTACTATTTAGGGTACCCCAAAACGCCTTAATTTTGACAACTGCCCATATTAGCACATAGAAGCCTAAACCCAAGGTCCTCAACAGAGCGTGGCCTCTTTCAGAGCTCCCTGCCCGATGCTGCAAAACCCAAGCCAAGCTGCAGACCAAGAAGACTAAAAGCAATAAAATAGGTATATACCTAGGGGTCCTTATTAAGGGTCCCCCCTTTTATCCTTGGATAAAAGCAATAAAGTAGTGATACACAAAACCAAGAGTAGCAATGTTTTTGCTTGTCAGAGTTCGCTAGAAGCAGCATCGCTTCCACAAGATACCCAAGAGATTAGTGGATGTGTTCCTTATGACTGTTACGTAGATCTAGAGCCTCCTAGCCCAAAATCCCAAACACCAGACCCTAAATCCTAAGAACCCTGCAAACCTCCCCTCCGCCCTAAACCCTACACCTCAAACCCTAAACCTCAAACCCTAAAACCCGAATCCCACATCCTAGTAGAGAAGAGTAGAGTTTTGAGGTATATTCTAGCATACTTATCGTAAGGGGGCCCTAAGGTTCAATGCTGCCGATTGTTCCGTCGTCTATATTCCATGACGCTGGGGGTTTGGGGGGGTTGCTTGGGGGTTCATGGGACTTAGTAAGTACAGTCATAAGTACTCTAACTTGGGTTATATCCAATTATAAGTATATTTACCTTATTTATATCCATAGCCTTAACCCTGAAAACCCAGTTTTTTAGGGTTCATTGCTATGATTTCTGTATATGAGGCCTGAAAAATGTAGGTTCTTCGGGGTTAAGGAGTTACTAAGTCCCATGAACCCTAAACCCTAAACCCTAAAACCCAAACCCGAAACCCTAAACCTTAAACCTTTATAACCATAGTTACTAAGTCCCATGAAGCTTTAAGTGGTCATCCTGAACTGTTGGTCCGGTGGTCTGGGTCTGAAACTTGAATCATAGGGACCCCTAGGGGGGGGGGTAGGGGGTTCATGGGTGGTTATAAGTGGGGTTATAAGTCCCCATAATATGGGTTCTAAGTGTAGTTACCCTACTGAATACTTCGTAAGCTTGTTCTTGGTTGCAGGCGTGGGAGTTTCCGAAAATTAGGGGTACCTTATATTACCTTATGTTGGGGTCCTTATAAGCCTAAACCCTAGAGCTAGTATAATAAGGATCCTGATATTTCGGGTCCCAGGGTCCCCCCTATTTTCGAAACTGCCATAAAACATACCCTTAAGATCTAGACGGGTTTGGGGTGTAGGGTTTAGGGTTTAGGGTTTAGGGTTTAGGGGGGCCCACCAATTGTTCAACCCGCTATATGAAGCCGAGCATGTTCCTGCTTGTTCAGGTCCAAGAGTAGCAGCGAATGTGTCAAGGCAGGGAGGGGGAGCCTTCATGGATCATGGCACCTTCATATGGGTGGTTGTCAAAATTAGGGTCTCTTTTTGGGGTCCCTGTTATAATACGGCACCTATTAATTAGGGTACCCCAAAAATTAGAGGGACCTTAATTTTGATGACTGCCCATATCATGTGCCGAAATCTACCCGTCGACATGATGATGCAGCGTCGTATGCTGTCACAACTTGCTTGGATATCACGCAAGGTCATGTATGCCCGGAGATCAGCCCAGTCCTCATGTATCATGTCTACATTGACGTCGCATGTGACCGTCTACATTGACGTCGCATGTGACCATCCAAAACCCTAAACCCCTGAAAGCCTAACGGAATTGCTATCAGGATATTGTCGTTTCTCGTGGCTTGCTCACAGGATTTCTCAGCCTAAAAAATGAGCTGCTGCATACTCTCGCCTTGTAAGTTTTGAGGTTTAGGGATTTGGGGTTTAAGGTTCAGGGTTTAGGGCTTAGGGTTTGGAAAAGTCCTTTGCTTGGCATTACTAGCCTTGTGAGTGGCTGAAGGTCCATGTGGGGATGAAGGCACTCGTGAACACACTGCAGCTTCGATTGCGGCTGCTGCTGAAGTTGCTGTTGCTGTTGCCGTTTGCGTTGCCGTTGTATCGTTTTGGTTGTGGTTGTCGTTGACGTTTTTGTAGTTGTAGTTCTCGGTTGTGGTTGTGGTTGTTGTTGTTGGCTTAGTGTTTGGGGTGTTCTCCGCACAACACTCATAACCTTGGCGCAAGTCAAGGTCTCACGTGCTTTTTGACATCATGCCTACGGCTAGCAGTAGATCCCAACTACCTTGGCTCCCCAAAGTCGACCATCTTGGGCTTAAGGTTCGGGGTTTAGAGGTTTAGGGGCTTCGACTTTAGGGTAATTTGCGACCAGGGCTTTAACTTTTGCCTATTACTATTTATTGGGTTCCTTATTAGTAATTACAGTATCATATATGTAGCCCTGAATATGTAGGTCTCTGAGGGTCCGAGGTCCCAGTAGACCTTTGGACTGACTACCCGGCAAGCCGAACCCCTAGACGCACCGTGACCTCATGTGTGTACCTAGACCCTCAAGTACCCTCTAGTGTAATTACCCGAAAGACTCTATGAAAGGGCCCTTGCACGGTCCTGGTAGGGTTTAACTTAAGGTTTAGGCTTCGGAGCCTGACATCCTCGGGTTAAAGCCGCAAATCCTACATCCCAGCGCCGAATCCTAAACCCCGCAACAAACCCGAGGCCACAAACCCACAAACCCCTACACCGAAAGCCCCAAATTCGCACAGACCACACCCTTAGACCAAAACCCTAAACTCGCAAACACCTAAGTCCTTGGACCAAAATCCCTAAACCCGCAAACACCTCAACCCTTAGACCAAAATCCCTAAACCGCAAACACCTAAGCCCTTAGACCAAAGCCCTAAACCGCAAGCACCTAAGCCCTTAGACCAAAAACCCTAAACCCTAAACCCGCACGAGAGGTGGTCGTCCGTGTCCGCCCTCTCAGCAGCAAGGCCCGCCTTGTGCAGAATATCGGGATCCCAAGCATACCGTACAGTAGTAGTAGAGAAGGTAACAGTTAACCGTTTTTGGATAGTATAGCCCCTATATATTCCTCATATATCCAAAAAGGTAGACCTTTAAGTCATACCCGACAACTAGGATACTATGGGGGCCTAAATACTCACCACCACTATGTTGGGGGCTCCTTGTTATATATACTGTAACTATAATAGAGTGTGCCACTGCCCTATTCTAATTATGAAAGCCCCTAAATTATGGTTCCAGGGTTTAGACTTTAGGATTTTCCAGCGCCGAAGCAGCAGGATTCATTTTTTCGGGTTTAGGGTTGCGGGAACAGTATTGCGCAGCGCAAGACTGTCATATTATGCTATTGGAAGGTGCCAGCTTTCTAGCTTTAGATTTGTGGTTGTAATGATGCCGCATAGTAGCCAGCAGCGACAGCAGGAGCAACGACAACATGATCAATATCAGCAAAAGCAGGCTTGGTTTTTACCAGTAAGACAGCCCGCGCGAGTTTTGGTATGATACAGGGGCCATACGACAATCCACTTCAAAACTGCTTTCTGACTATTCAGACCCCACATCCAAACCGTCTAAGACACAAATTCCTACGCTCGGGATCATTGAACCGCGCTGCTTCGACCGGGCATCCTTTGTTCAAAACACTCTGCCCAAAGCAGAACCATAAGGGTGATAGAAGGGTACTAGGGATAAAGGGTTTTAGGGTTTGAGGTTCAGGGTTTGGGGTGGTTGATATCAGATGGGGATCTCTATACTAATCCTTAAAGCTTGGGGCATGAGCAAGCAGAATAGGAAGTTGCGGTACATTCTAGCAGAATTATAGCAAAGGTATAATACGACTAAGTGTTAAGACCTCTACATGGGTGGTTATCAAAAATCGGGTCTCTTTTTGGGTGCCCTAAATATCAGGTGCCGTATTATATTAAGGACCCAAAAAGGGACCCCAATTTTGATAACGACCCACATTCAAACGCATAAGTTTAAGCCCCTATAACCCAGTCAAGACCAGCGGAAAGCAGCTCCCATGACCCGGCAAACCGCACACAATCCTTGAAGGAACCAACCCTTAAAAGAACTCAGCCTAAAGCTGAAATCCTACACCCTTAGGAGGAATCCCTGACAGAACCATGCAAGCTGCCTTTTAACAGGAACCCTCGAAAGGCCAACTACGCGGAGCCCTAAGCCAACACCCAAAACCTGGACTCCCTAAACCGAAAACCCTAATCCTAGGGATCTAAGGACTCATATATTAAGGCTTTTGAGCCCAAAGACCATACTATAATAATGCTTTTGGGCTACTCTTGATCCTCAGGGTAAGAACTACCAACCCGAAGTTCTCCTGCGCTAGCCGTTAAAGACACCTCGAAGCAGCAATTATAGAAAGTCCCTAGCCCTTACAATAGCCCCCTAAACCCTGACCCCGTAGAAGCCGCCCTCGTAGAAGCCGCTAAGCCCGTCTAGAAGCAAGCCTCGAAAAGAAGCCTTACAGAAGCCCCAAACCCCTGGTAGAGGCTTCTGGAAGACCCCAAGACCCTGGAAAGCCCAAAGACCCTTATAGAAACCCAACAGCAACCCTAAACCTTAAGCCCTAAGCCCTAAACCCTAAAACCATAAGCCCTAAACCCTAAGCCCTAAACTCTAAAACCCCCTGACATTGAAGGAGATCTCGGAAGGGAGAGAGGTCATCGTGACGATGGACAGTATAGGGTTTCGGGTTCAGGGTTCTTTTCCCCGGAACCCTAATTCGGATTTCTGTTCGCTCGGCTTGAAGAACTCAGGATGTAAGGTTTAGAGTTTTGGGATGTTAGGGGCGTTGTTTTCGTGGGTTTTAAGGGTCTAGGGTTTGAGCCTTTAGGGGTTTAATGTTTTTAACCCTAAACCCTAAACAACCCTAAACCCTAAACCCTGAACCCTGAACCTTAAACTCCAGCCCTAAAGAGGGAGCCCCTAAAGAAGCCAACCCTTACAGAGACTCCCTTGAAAGAAACCCGAGGAGCCGTTCAGGGGGGCCTTAAAGGAGCCCTTAACGGAACCCTTAACTAGGATGCCCAGTAGTACCCTTATTCCCTTTTTGTAGTCCTAGGTTCCTTATAAAGTTATACCCAATACCAAAAAGAGAGGCCTTATTATTCTTAGGTTACTGGGTATCCTAGTAAAGGACCTCTTTAAGGAGCCCTTAAAGGAACCCGTAAGGCCCTTAAAGAAGCCCCCTTAAAGGAGCCCTTAACCCTTAAGGCCCAAAAAAAGGACCTGAGGGTCTTTCGGAGTTCTGTTGTGTTTTCGGCTTCCGGCCCTGTGACTCCCAGGCTAGGGCGCAGTAGCTGGGAGACTGAGGATGGCTGGGCCTTCTGTGCGGGACCCCAAACCCTAAACCCTAAACACTAAACCCTAAACCCTAAACCCTGAACCCTAAACCCTAAACCCCAAACCCCAAACCCTAAACTCCAAGCCCTAAGCCCTAAACCCTGAACATCCTTCAACTCAAAACCCTAAATCGACACTCCAAACTCGAAGCCCTACAGTAACCGTATAGTCACCCTTATAGAAACCCCTAAAGACTCCTCTAAAGGAGCCCCAAAACCTCAAAACCGAAACCCGAGAGTCTAAATCCAGACTGTTTAGGGTTTAGGGTTTAGGGTTTAGGGTTTAGGGTTTAGGGTTTAGGGTTTAGGGCTTGGAGTTTAGGGTTTGGGGGTTTAGGGTTTAGGGTTTAGGGTTTAGGGTTTAGGGTTTAGGGTTTAGGGTTTCGGTGCCATGGTATGGCCTTTTGGCGCCTCAGTGTGGAAATCTGTAAAGGCATGAAGCTGGGGGCTCTTTGAGATATGGTGGTTTCCGAAAATTAGGGGTACCTGATTTTGGGTCCCTATTACAAGGATCCTACGATTCAGGTTATTCTATCAGGGTCCCCGATTTTCGGAAGCTCCCATATGTATGACAATACAAGCATTACTATACCGTCAGGGCTTAATGGTCTAAACTAGGATGCCCAGCTGTACCCTTATTCCCTTTTTGAAGTCCTGGGTTCCTTATAATGTTACCCAATACCAAAAAGGGAGCACTTTTGTATTCCTAGGTTACTGGGCACTGGTCTAAGGATTTAGGGCTTAAGGATTGGTGGTGTCGCACGGTGATGATGTTTCGTCCGGCAGCCGTAGCACAGGTAGCTCCGCACGCTGACAACCAAAAGCCATCTCGGTGTTCAATATAAGGCCCCTGTATTATAGTACCCTACTTTAGATCCCTGATAGTAACTCTATATAGAGCCCTTTAAAGGACCCCCTATTCTAATTGTCAAGGCCCCTTCCAGACTTGGATGGAGAGGCAACCAGGAAAGAAGGAGGACTGGATATCTAGCGTTCAATGTTTGCCTATAGTCCCCTTCTATGATGATACTGCAACGTACCCCTCAAAAACACCTCCAGTAGATCATCAGCATGGGAACTTCCGGCATGGATGAGACAGAGCTTCAGCGTGGATTGTCTTATAGAATTCGGGCCGCTTACTTAGGCGGTCTATACGATAGAGGTTCTGGGTTGCAACACCCTGGACACTAAGTCCTAATATGACAAGAATCTAGTGTTTCGATTTGTAGATCCTGACACCTCAGACCTCCGTGTCAGCCAGGGGTAGGTCTGTTTGGAACATTCGGGCCGGAAGCGTTGAGAGATGCTGGGCTTCAAGAACAAAGTGTGGCCATTTGAGAGTTTCCAAAAAAAGGCCAGTATGACCCATTATAGTACACCCCGAACAGGTTGGAAATGGGATTCAGGACAAATAGTGCTGGGAATCCCTATACATGACTCTTATAAGGATTTGCGGCTATTGCGTTTCCAACTTTTGGGCTTCTACTGTAGCAGCTTGTAGTGATTCTCAAACCCTACAAGCCCTATCGATCCCTTATAGGAACCCTTAGATTCCGCAACCTCCCAAAACCTACTTTTTTGTAGGGTCCCTATATTTTCCAGCTTCGGGTGTATGATCAGAGCCTACAGAAAAGTAGGGTTTGGTAGTTTAAGGTAGTGCTTCTAGTCTGGGCTGTCCAGCCCTCCAATGGCCCTGGCAGCTAATTGGGCTACACTCCCGCACAAGGCGGTGTGCGCCTGCGGGCTTCCGGGTTCAGGGTTTAGGGTTCAGTTTTTTTTGGATGCCCAGTAGTACCCTTATTCCCTTTTTGTAGTCCTAGGTTCCTTATAAAGTTATACCCAATACCAAAAAGAGAGGCCTTTTAATTCTTAGGTTACTGGGTATCCTAGCCGGGTTCAGGGTTTAGGGTTCAGGGTTTTTGAGACTTAGGGAAACACCTAAACCCTAAACAGGGATTTAGGGTGTAGGGTTTGGAGATTAGAGTTTGGGGTTTTTGAGACACTTAGGGGTATTTCGGTTTAGGTGGGTTCAGGGCTCATGGCTCCGAGCTTGGGCGTGAAGAGTGGGGGGTTTAGGGCCTAGGGGTTTGGGCCTTCGGGGTTTGGTCATGAAGATTCATGGCTCAGGGATGGTTACACTGGGTCTGGTATTGGGGCTTTCTTGCAGTTGGGGGAGCTAGGATCCTTCTCCCGTGCTTTCCGGAACTTTCATCTCAGCAACAACATGACTGTCGTTCTTTCTCGCTCTTTGACTTCACCTTCACATGTGCCTGGCCTTGTAGCAACATCTTCTTTATGAACCGTTTTGACAAAGGGCACTTCCAGCATCGCTCTCCTCATCTCTCCACCACCCTCATTATCTAGAGCATCGTTCTCTTTAATTGTCATGACGATGATCATCATCATTCTCGCCATGGCAACCATCATCGTTAGATTCACCGTCGTGACGGTCATCATCACCCTCATCATCATCATCATCATTCTCGTCTTAGCTCCCATCGCCACTGTCATGAGTCATTGTGATCGCCATCAGTTTCGCTAGCACCGGCAGCGCCACTACTGCTGGCACTATTACAGGCACTGGCACTAGCGCTAGCACGGAGCACTAGCACCATCATCGCGCACCGTGATCATCATCAGAATGTCATCGGCACCGTCATCACATCTTCCCCCCCCACCACTACCACCACTACCACCACCACTACCACCACCACTACCACCCATCGTTCGCCTTACCATCATGTTTACTAACAAGCACCAGAAATCCCAAATTGGACCCATGAGAGGTGGTTCGGCCTGCGGCCACCTACTCGCGCGGGCTGCCTGCCAGCGTGGCTGTGCTGAAGTATTTAGCGTTTAGGGCTGTATGTTTAGCGTTTACTGTAGGTTTAGGATTTAGGTTTTGGGGCTGTATGTTTAGGGTTTAGGGCTGTATGTTTAGGGCTCTAAGGATTTTCCCTTCGTTGCTGCCTCTTGTGCCAGTTCGCTTCTTGCTAGCCCGTCTCTCCTTCGCTGCTGCTACTGTTACTGTTACTGCTACTGCCAGAACTGCTGGTACCACCAACGGCAACACCACCAAACACAACAACAAGATCAGCCACGACCACAACCACAACGACAACGACGATACCGTCTATACCCACAACCGCACCAAAAAACACAAATGCAACCACACCAACAACATGAGCAGCATCACCGACAACATCACCGACACCATCACCAACAACATCGCCAACATCATCGCCAACGTCAGCAACACCAACACCAACACCAAAACCAACACCAACACCATCAGCAGCACAAGCACCAGCACCAACACCAGCAGCCACGACAAACACAACCACCACAACCACAACAACAAGCAACAGCAAGCGCAACAACAACTACAACAACAACCACGTCAACAACCACAGAAACGACAACATCACCGTCACCAGCATCGAATCAACCGCAACAAATCAACAAGCTAACAAACCAACAAACCAACAAACCAACCGGTCAACCGCAACAACAACAACAACCACAACAACAACAGCAACAACAGCAACAACAGCAACAACAGCAACAACAGCAACAACGGCAACAACAGCAACAGCAACAGCAGCAGCAACATCGACGACCACCACCAACAACAACAACGACAGCAATAACAACAACAGCAACAACAACACCAACAACAACACAACGACAACAACAACAACAGCAACGGCAACCACAACCACAACAACAACAACAACAACAACGGCAACAACAACAACAACAACAACCACAACCACAACCACAACCACAACGACAACAACAACAACTGCAAACACCACCACAACTACAGCAACCACAACAACCACAACACACACGCCAACCACAACAACAAAAAACACAGCAACCACAGTAACCCAGAGCAGCAACAGCAACCGCATCAGCAGCAAAAGGAGCATCAATAGCAAGAACGACAAACCAACAAATCAACACACCAAAATGTCAATCGCATCCACAGCAACAGCAACAACAACTACAGTTTAGGGTTTAGGGTTTAGGGTGCTACAAGACTGAGCCGCCAAAGACCCTACAGCCCCGAAGCCACTGACTTACAGACCCCAGAGATCCTTGGTTAGGGGAATATTCCCTAAATTATAGGTAGGATCCTTCACATGATTTAAGGTATATATCTATATATACATATATACCCCTTGATTAAGGGATCTACCTGAAATTTTAGTAGGATCCCTTATATGATTTAAGGTATACTCCCTAGTTAAGGGATATAGGAGACTCTGGGTTGAAGCCCTGCCAACATCCTGACCTTCAAGGTGAAAAAAGCCATGAGTACGGCTTCTGGCACCACGGCGCAGAATCTCTGCTGCTCAGTTGCAAACGACCGCGTAGCATTAGTAGTAGTAGTAGTAGTAGTAGTAGTAGTAGTAGTAGTAGTAGTAGTAGTAGTAGTAGTAGTAGTCGTAGTCGTAGTAGTCGTAGTAGTCGTCGTCGTAGTAGTCATCGTCGCAGTCGACGTCGAGGTCGAGGTCGTAGGTATCTTCGTGGCGCCGTGAACCCTAAACCGTACAGGCCTGGATGCCTAAACCGCCGTTTTCAAGACTTTGTCAACCCTGTAAAACACCCTAAACCCTAAACCCTAAACCCTAAACCCTAAACCCTAAACCCTAAACCCTAAACCCGACTTGAAAGAAACCTGAAAGGCACTCCAAGCCCCAAGCCCTCAAATCCAAAACCCAAAAACTAAAGCTAATGTAGGGGCTTAAAAGGCTTTAAATAACTACCTAGACTATTTTGGGGGGTAGTATAATGGGCCTCAAACCCCCATTCTAATTAACAAGGTCCCTCTACTAACTACCCCAAACTTAACCTAAACCATAAAAAAGAAGCTTTGGTGATAGTAGAATGGGCCCCAAATCCCTGTCCTGATTATTGAGGCCCCTCTATTACACCAGACTTAACTTAAGCCATAAAGAAGCTTAACCCTCAACCCCAAACCCGCTGATAAACCCTAAACCCTACACCCTCAACCCTAAACCACAAAGAAGCTTTCAAGCCTCGGCGCTTGCTGCCAAGAGGCTGCTGGGGACTCCTTACTTCGGGGCTCGGCCTGTGGCGAAGGACGCCCAGGACGGGTTTAAGGGCTCCTTTAAAAAGTAGATCTTCAGGGTTTAGGGTTCCTTGAAAGGTTACTATAAGGGCTCTGTGCTCCTTTAAGGGATCTGTAGGATTTAGGGTTTAGGGTTCAGGGTTCGGGGTTCAGGATTTAGGGCTTTAGGGTTTAGAGACGGGGGCCCAGGACGGGTTCAGTGGCGTTGCACTGCAGGGCAGAGCAAAAGCTTTAAAAGCCCCACCTAGTTTCAAGTTTTGTTTGAAATCATTTTGTCGATCCAGGTCCACGTGCACTTCTGCCCTCGTTTCGCTTCTGTTGATACTTTGCAGGAATATGGGAGTTTCCGAAAATAAGGGGTACCTTATCTGTGGGTCCTTTAAATAAGGATCCTACTACTTAGGGTAACTACTATCTTAGGACCCCCTATTTTCGGAAATCCCCATATTCCTACGAGCAGCATAGTCACAGCACTCATGGAGCACTTGCCTTCAACCCAAAAACCCCACACTCCGAACCGTACATAACCCTGGATCAAGCTTGAGGCGATAATCCCTAAATCCTAAGCCCGTTGTCGTGCTTGGTATTTCAACCCTATAAACCCCAAACCCTCAACCCTACAGTACCCTGACTGGAACCCGGACAGTACCCTTCACGGAACAGGTAAAAATTCAGGTAAGGGAACCCTAATATAGGGACCTTACAGTTCCTCATTGTAACTATCATGGGCCCCAAAAACGCTATTTTCAGTATGAAGGCTTTTGTTTGAATCCCAAATTACCGGATGATAGGTTTCCAAACAAAGCCGCCGGAGAGCAGGAGTTCAGCGCCGAGTGTGGCTTCACGATCCGCCGGAAGCAAGGCAACCCCTCGTTTGGGCTTAGGGTTCAGGGTTTGGGGATTCTAGGATTTAGGCTTAGGGTCTAGGGCTTGGGGTTTAGGGTGTATAGGGTTTAGGATTTAGTACTAAGTAGCACTAGTTTAGTCTATAGTCCTCACGTTGCTACATATACTATACTGGTCCTGGACAGGTACCTATTCGTGCTTTTACTTCTCGGCGTCCCTTAAACTGTATCCCAGCTCAAGGTTCGAGTTTTGGCAGTTGTGGTTTATAAGCTTCAGGCTTAGCTAAGGTGTGGCAGTTGGGTTTTAGGATTTCGTTTGGGGCGTAGTGTTTATGCAGGGTTCAGCGTGTTCGGGTTCCGGGTCGGGGCTCAAGGCGAAGTTTGGTAGTTTTAGGGTTTAGGGTTTAGGGTTTAGGGTTTCGGTTGGTTCCGCGGGCTTCCTTTGAACCTTAAACCCTTAAACTCTTGAACCCTAAAACCTGTCCCTACATCCCTAAACTCTGCACCCTCAAATTTCTTAAACCCTTCAGCGCTTCAACCTTAAACCTGTAAGCCCTTAAAACCCTCGAACCCTTAAGCCCTTAAACCCTCAAGCCTTCAACCTTCAGCTCTTAACCTGTAATCCCGTACAAACCCGAAATCCTAAACCCGCAAGTCTTAAACCCGTAAACACTAATCCCAAAACCCAAAGCCCGAGACTCTTAAACCCGCCCTTGATGCTGCAGGGCTGCACTTCTAGAGTCCGGTTTTGGGAACCCGGCATTCTTCTCAAAATGACCTTACAAGTTACCCTAATTGGCCCTAATTTAGAGAACTGCCCATAGGAGGCTTTAGGGTTTGACGGCTTTAGGGTTTCGTTGACTAGGGTTTGGGGCTTTAGATGTAGGGTTGAGGGTCTGAATAAGTAGTAAGATTGCCCCCCCTTGTTGGCCCTGACTATACGAAGATGTGCCGCTACAATATGCCTGATAACCGTACTCTGGAGAAGCATTAAGTTGGACAAAGGGCGGAAATTAGCGCTTCCAAGCCAATATGCGGTCAAGCTGGACTCGCTCAACAGAATAATTGTGAAAGGGTGTGCTTAGTCAACGACATTCCATGCCGGCATGCAAAAGTCACACCCTAAACCCTAAACCCTAAAGATTTGCAATCATTTCGGCATCTGGCGATCCGACTACGAAGGGCTACTCCGACAACTGCGGTGCAGCGCTTGGCCCTTTGCAGGTAGCTTTGAAGTGTCGGCACATCCCTCTACCCAGAGCCTCCAATATCCCTTGTTTTTTCTGAGGAATGTACCTTAAATCATATATGGGATCCTACCATCATTTAGGGTACGGTCTTTAATCAAGGGATATTGGAGTCTCTGCGAAGAAGCCCTGCTAATCAGCATCTACGAAGGCACAAGGCCCTCCTCCGACCCTGCTTCTCGCAGACCCATTAGCACAATACGACTTATACCGTAGCATTATACTAGGGTTCAGGGCTTTAGGGTGTAGGGTTGGTTGTGCAGTATGTTACAATTTGAAACGTCTTCCACAAAATTTACGCGGCAATGTCGCACAGCTTCAGAGACCCCCGGTTCGGGTGCCGACGAAGCCAAAGGGCAACACAGCTTCTGTTCATAATCTAGGATGCCCAGTAGTACCCTTATTCCCTTGTTGTCCTAGGTTCCTTATAAAGTTACCCAATACCAAAAAGAGAGGCCTTTTTATTCTTAGGTTACTGGGTATCCTAGATAATGCGACGACGGAACAATTCAACTCAGCCTGCGAGGCTGTTATTTTTAGACTGGAAGCAAGCGCTCGATAAGGTATGAGAGAGTGGACCTCTCTGCCATGCATATTGCACTTCTCCGCCTGGGCGTTCACGCAGCCTATCTGGAAGTCTGGAAGTAGTTCAGGACATGTACACTATGTATACATGCATGGCGATTTGCACCTCGGCCCCGGATGTCTCTAACTCGTGGAGGTACCCCGCACACTGGTATCGGGAAAGGGTGTCCGCTTAGCCTTCATCATGGTGGCGAAGGGCCTCCATTAGGTAGACTCCCGATTGAGAGCCCGCGGATTTACCCAAAACACCTGGTCCCCTAACCCCAATCTCTGCATGAACCTTAAACCCTACACAGCCCCTAAACCTAAACAAACCCCCATGGGGACCCCTTCGAAGCACGGGCCAAGTCTGGCAAGTAACGGCAGGCAGGTGCAGCATCCAACAACAACGACCCACTGGCTGTCTTCGTGGTCCTACGGAAGGAGTCGTGCGACCGCCGATTTCATACTGGAATGAGACGAGTAAACTAGGATGCCCAGTAGTACCCTTTTTCCTTTTTGTAGTCCTAGGTTCCTTATAAAGTTACCCAATACCAAAAAGAGAGACCTAGGTGGGTGAGCGAGTGAGTGAGACACCCTTGCTACCTACCAGACGGACAGGCGCACAGACCCGCAATGTCTCCTCTTCCAGCAGGGGCTGGGTGCAAACTAAACCCTAAACCCGGCGCAGGGCCCTCATAAAACAGAGCAGACAGACATCAGTTGAGTACCGCCAACCCGAAATGGCAAGTGCTAAATTTCAGGGCCTGGAAGCACACTTAGCGAGACGAAAGCCGTGGACAACAGGATCCCTATCGAAAGCACAAGGTGAGGTTTGCCGAATGAAGCAGTGTCTCTCGTAGTACTTCTGCCTTCTTGTGAGTCTTGGGCACGATGATATTGTCGCACCGTGATATCAGTTTTGCGGAAGAACTGTCAAAAACACAAGCAGCAACACTCCTAAACCTTTAATCTCATGGCAGCTGGGTCTTGTTCGTTTTCGTGCCGCTTGCAGGATCTGGACTGGCCCACAGGCGCGCGAAGCTCAAGATCTTGGCACTGAGTTCCGCTGGTGTCTTGCAGTGTCTTGTTGAGGAACTCAACTTATGGTAGCATGGCAGTGGCGGTGGTGTTTGTTCATCAGCAACAGAATCTTCACATGTATACGAACATGTAAAAATCAGCGATGCACTCATTCGTACATACGGTTGATGATATGAATCCTGCATGGACCATAGTAAGGAATTTACCATAAACCCGATAGGTTAGGGTCCTTAAGGTAATGCAGGATTTATATCATCAACAGTATTAATATTGAAGTGTGTGCCTGCAGAAGGGTTGATCCCCGCGGTGGTCTGAGGCTATGATTAACCAGGCCTGTCATGCCTGCAGTGCCATGGTCGCAGCCCAAGTCTCTGCCGATACCTTTGTAACTTGTAAACCCTAAACCCCAAACCCTAAACCCTAAACCCAAAACCCAAAACCCTAAACCCCAAACCCCCTAAACCCCAAACCCTAAAAACCAAACCCCGAGACGCAGTCTTTACAAGTCTCTCTGCTTGAAGTCTCAAAGTTTCCGAGTACATTCAGGCACGTGTGTGGAATCGGAGTGCTCTACTCATCAGAGCTGGGCATTTGCGGTTTGGGAGTAGGCAGGGTTCAAAAAAGAGGTGACTTCATTCCCCGGAAGTCTTCAACTCAAGCCCAAGAGCTTAAACCCCAAACCACCTCGCCTGAAGCTTTGATTGTCTGAAACTCCCTAAACCGGAAACCGCGTGGTAGGGCATTTCAGACCCTGAACCCCAAACCCCACACCACCACAAACCTATCCTAAGCCCCAAACCAAAATGCTAAGCCTTACATTACCCTTATTGAACCCATGAAACAACCCTTAAAAGAGTCCTCAAAGGAAATCCTCAAGCGAACCCTTAAGGGAGCCCTCAACCTCTGAGCTCGACCCCCCCCCCCCACCTAAGGCTCTATGTGCCGTTATGGTGCATACTTTGTGCCTGCATAGAAACCCTTGTAGACTCTAATTATACACCATAGTATGGGTACATGGAGCCTTATACCCTAGAAATGCTCAAACCCTCAAAGGAGCCCTTCGGGGAAGCCCTTAAAGGAACCCTTTTTTGGGGTTGCAGGCCAGGGTTTCTTAATCAGGATCCTACATTACCCAGAGACCCCTTTAAAAGGGTTTAGAGTTTAGGGTTTAGGGTTTAGAGTTCACGGATTCGGGATAATGCAGGAACCTGATTAAGAAACCTTGGGCCTTTAGGAGCTCCTTATATGAATCCTACTATTTTGGGGTTATAGGCCCGGGTTTCTTAATCAGGATCCTACATTACCCAGAGACTCCTTTAAAAGGGTTTAGAGTTTAGGATTATGTAAGGGTTTAGGGTTTTAGGGTGCGCCCAGAGACCCCAATATCCTTGAATTAGGGAAGATGCCTATAATTCAAAGTATATTCCCTGTTTCAGGAATATTGGAGTCTCCGGGTACCGATCTATGACCCCTTAAAAGGATTCCTGTAGCGTGTAATGCAGAGGCCTTGAGAATTAGAGTCGGGTTTTAGAGTGTATTGTACCATAAATATCACAAAATAGTCTCTTTACTACCCATGTAGTCGCAAAGTAAAGGTTTTTTTGAAATAAGGAACCCTAATAAAGGCCCAAGGTTTCTTAACCAGGTTCCTACATTACACCCCCCAAACCCTTATAGTACCCTTATAGTACCTTTAAAGGAACCCATATAGAAGCCTAATAAATTCCCAAGGCTTCTTAATCAGGTTCTTACATTATGTCCAAAAGACCCTTTTAAAGGAGTCTCTGAGTACATGGAGCCTCGGGGCCCCACTAAACCCTAAACCCTAAACTCTAAACCGACCCTAAACCCTAAACTCTAAACCCTAAACTCTTTTAAAGGAGTCTCTGAGTACATGGAGCCTCGAAACCCCAGTACACCCTAAACTCTAAAGTCTTTAAACCCTAAACCCTAAACTCTAAACCCTAAACTCTTAACCCTAAACCCTTTTTGAAGGAGTCTCTACATGGAGCCTTCGGGCCCCTCCCCTTGCCTAGGACCCAGAGTAGGGCCTTATTCCCTTTTTGAGGGTTTCGGTTCCCTTATAACCCCCTTTAAACCAAAACGGGCACCCTTTTTGTTCCTACTTTACTCTTAGGTCTAGGTCAAGGGATCCATACAAGGGTTCCTTCAAGGGATCTAGTATATGTGTGCACCCTGTTTGTTCCTACTTTAAGCTTAGGTCTAGTTGCCGATGTCAGGCTTGGGAGGCCCGAGAGGACGAGGATGCGGTGACTTACTTCTCCGAGGCCTGGGGGGCCGGGTTTAAAGGAGGGTTTGGGGTTTTGGGGTTTTAGGGTTTAGGGGTTTAGGGGTTTAGGGGTTTTGGGGTTGAGGGTTTAGGGGTTTTGGGGTTTGCGGTTTTAGGGCTCAGGGTTGAGGGTTTACGGGTTTTAGGGTCTAGGCTTTTAGGGTTAGCAGGGTTTGCGGTTAAAGGTGTGTATACAGCAGTGTGCGCGCATTGGGTGCGCTTCTTTGGGAAGGTGGGCCCACCCACTTATGGCGCACTCGCGTGAGCATGTAGTCCCGCCCCAACCATCCCGACTGTTCTCCAACCATCCCGACTATTCTCAGTTAGGGTTTAGGGTTCACCCTAGCTCCTCTCTGTGCTCGCCCGAGGGTCTTAAGACAACCTCTTCGACCGTATATTACGACCCGCATTTACTATAGAGGACTAAAAATACTGCTGTGGGGGTTCCTTATTTTGATTATAGTATAATAGACTCAAAAACCCTATTCAAATTATCAAGGCCCCTGAGGGATTGGGGGGGGACGGCTTAATAGCGTCCAGCCGTCGCATGTCCTCTCGAGAGCGCATTTGCGAGCCGGTAACGATGATGATTATGATCATGATCATGATCATTATGATGAGAACTCATATGATGAAAACAATGATAACTGCATTGTTTGTGACAGTGACAATGATGTCGTTAAAGACAATGGTGACGGTCGCCATGATGATGAAGATGCTTGCGATGATAGAAACATGTTGATGACAGCAACGACGATGCTTATGTTCATGATCATGATCATGATGATAATGACTATAGTATAATGCAAATGATGATCAAAACTCTAATGACGGTGAAAACGATGTTGACAGTGACAATGATGAAAATGACTAAGATGATAATGATGCTGATGCTGATGATAAAGACGATGAGCATGGGGATGATGCTGCTGATGATATTGCTAATCGTAAAATGAAATAGTTTCCGCGATGTCCTACAATCCTGTTTGTTGCAGAGATCGTGCTAAAACTCAGTTTCGCGCACATTCTAAGTACGAATGCAGCGTGGCACCTAGTGCGCCGGTACCCTCATAGATCCCCTATGTATAACCCCTATGTAGAGCCCTTTAAAGGACCCCCTATTCTAATTATTAAGGCCCCTAGAATTGATCAGTTTTGTCTCGCAGGGCCTGGTAGGGCACATGGTGAAGTCCACCATGGCTGCCAAGAGCAAGGCCACATGTTCTCCCAATAACCCTAAACCCCAATATAGTGGCCTTAATAATTACCCATACCAGAATGGGAGTTTCCTCATTATGATTATAGTATGATACTCCCCAAAACCCTATTCTGATTATTAAGGCCCCTATTTTAAGCAGGTCGTCTAGAGTGTTTGGACAGTGCCATAAAGGGTGGACTGATCTGTTGAAAACCCGCGAAGCGCATCAATTCGCTGGGGTTTAGATTCGACTTGAGTTTGAGGTTTAGGCTTGAGGGTTTGGGGTTTAGGGTTGAGGGGTCGGGGTTTAGGGTTGAGGGTTTGGATTTAGGGTTTAGCGCGTATAAAGGTCCTGAACAGGAACAAACCTGGCTTTGTTGTTACATGGTGCGGGTGTCTTTTCCGTTTGCTCGCTATTTTCGTGCTTCCCTTAGGGTTGAGGGTTTTAGGGGTGTTCAGGTTTTAGGATTGCAACTTTGCGGGTCGATCGCAGCCATACGAGAAGAGTGCCGGCTTGTTTATACATATAACCCCTTAGTCACCTCAGGAAACCCCTGAACCGTAGACCCTATGCCCTAGCACCCAAACCTTCCCACCCAAGATCCCACACTCTAAGCCCCGAAGACGACATAAGCTAGGATGCCCAGTAGTACCCTTATTCCCTTTTTGTGGTCCTAGGTTCCTTATAAAGTTACCCAATACCAAAAAGAGAGGCCTTTTTATTCTTAGGTTACTGGGTATCCTAGTTAAGGTTTGGGGTTTATGCTTAGGGTTTAGGATGGTGATGGTGGTGGTGATGATGTTGATGCTGTTTGCAGGTATTAGGGCTCGTGCTGGTGCCGGTGTTGGTTTCTTCCAGGAGCATTGAGCCTTAAACACCATGTCTAAACCTAGACCCCAGCCCTACTCCAAACCCTACGGCCCCACCTAGACACCCTAAACCCTAAACCTAAACCCTAAACCTCAACACATGGTCTTACCGAGCCCGAAGCAAGTCGCACAGGGCGAGCTCGAGGACGTCACGAAGAAGCTTGAAGAGGTCCCTCCCAACAGGGTCTGAATAACTGAGAACAGTATCCCGTTGTAGTCCTATATCATCTATCTATCTATCTATCTGTATATATATATATATATATATTATAGATGTACCTGTAAAAATATCTATATCTATCTGTATCTATATCTAGATCTAGGTACAAATTTGCAGAAGTCTCGGCACAAGAGCATACTACGCAAAGCCAACAATGGCACTGCTACGAAAACATCGAGGGATTCGGTTTTGCAAGTATGCGCGGGTTAAAATACATAGAACAAAAATGACAAACCATGATGACCTTAGCCCTAATCTGCCCGGGACACATGCTTCCTTTCACAGCGATCCTTGCCAGATTTCGGATATGAGTTTAGTAGTTCGAGCAAGGGCTTTTGGGTCGTACATTGCTATCCTACATATCATCTATCTCTCTACGTATCTGTCTGTCTGTAGAAATGTCTTTATATCAATATTTCTCTCTATTTGTTTATTCTATCTACCTATTCATCTGTCTAACTTATCTATCTATCTATCTATCTATCTATATATCTCTGTCTATCTATCTATATTTGTATACATTCATGACGCTAAACCAAAACCCGACTGTGCGAACAATATGGGAGTTTCCGAAAATAGGGGTCCCTAATATAGTTCCCTAAATAATGGGATCCTTTGTTTTAGAATCACCCCCCCAAAATAAGGTATCCCTAATTTTCGGACACTCCCATATGGGGTGTTTGTTTCCAGTTAATCCCCTCTAGTACCCTGACTCCTCGCCGAACTCTTCACTTCCATCTGGGGGTTTCCGAAAACAGGGGACCCTAATATAGTACCCCAAATAGTAAGATCCTTATTATAAGGACTCCAAAATAGGGTACCCCTAATTTCCATCTTGTCCTGCAAACAATTTGGTTTAGGGTCTAGCGTATAGGGTTTAGAGCAGATGCCCAACAGTTGGAAACCCGGTAGCCTCAATCCTTAAGAGTCATGTGTAGGGAATCCCAGCACTATTTGGCCTTAATCCAGTTTCCAACTTTATGGGATTCGCTGTAGAGTTTGAGGATTATAGGGTTTAGGGTTTAGGGTCTGTGGAGTTTTAGGATATAGAACTTGTAACCGTGCAGAAACTCGAATGGCACCCCACTGAGAATCCTAATGGAACCGTTGTAGCAGCTCTTTAGCTTGCGTGTATCGCAACATTCCCATCAAGCCTGGATATGAAAAACCTGGTTCTCCTATGGTGGGTTCAGGGTTTAGGGTTATCGTAGCTCCCGTTTTCTTACAAAATCCCGCTAAGGTAGAAATCTGCTTAAGAATCTTCGGACTCTTGCAGTCGGAAAGACCTGTGAAAAGAAACCCGTACAGTCCTAGGTAGTATTAGGGAGACCACTTAAAGGGGGACCCTTCTCTGAACCCTACTTCTGGCTCTTAAACCCTAAACCCTAACCCCTAAACCGTGGACCTTATTGTGAGGGTCTGCATCCCCAAGAAGCCACCTAATCCTACCTCCCATATTGGGTGGTTGTCAAAATTAGGGTCCCTTATATAGTACAGTACCTGATATTTAGGGTACCTCAAAAAGGGACATAATTTTGACAACCACCCATATGGTAGAGCCGTGGTGAACTCTTAAAGGAAACCTTCAAGGACATTTTTTAAGGAACCCTTAAAGGAACCCCAAAGGAGTCCAGACGGGAGCCCTTGAGTATTCCTTAAAGGCCCATATGGTCGTTTCAGAAACTTAGGGGCTAGCGGTACCTTATTTTGGTGTCCTTATAGTGAGGGTCCTACTAATTGGGGTAGCATATTCGGGTACCCCTAATTTTCGGAAACTCCCAAAAGGGTGGTTGTCAAAATTAGGGTCCCTTTTTCATTCCCCATTATCATACGGCACCTAATATTTAGGGTGCCCAGAAAAGGAACCCTAATTTTCACAACCACCCCTATAATAGAAGCCAGAAAGTTGGAATATGATTATCCTAACCCTTCTATGGTAAATTATAGGGGAATCCTACCATTAATCCATATTCCAACTTTCTGGAGTTCCCTTTAGTACCCATATCATGAACCTAAACCCTAAACCCTAAACCCTAAAACACTATAGATCCCTTAGAGGAACCCTTATAGATCCCTTTAAAGGAACCCAAGTATATATATATATATATATATATATATATATAGTAGAGCTCACCTAAACCCTAAACCCTAAACCCTAAACCCCTAAACCCCTAAACCCTAAACCCTAAACCCTAAAACCCTAAACCCTAACCCCTAAAACCTAAATCCTAAAACCCGTAGAGCTCAGGCTGGGATTCCGTACAAGCTTTGGGTGGAGCAGCCCGAGGACTCTGTGGGGGGGGGGCCGAGGTTCATAGGAGGCCAAAAGGGGGTTTAGCCTATGGGGGTTAGGGATTTTTGTGGTTCCTTTAAAGGGATCGAGAAGGGTATCAACAGAGGCCAAAACGGGGTTTAGCCGCGAGGTTCATAGGAGGCCAAAAGAGGGTTTAAAGGGAACTCCAGAAAGTTGGAATATGGTTTCAGGGTAGGATACCTTATAATTTACCATAAAGGGTTTAGGATAATCATATTCCAACTTTCCGGCTTTTACTTTATGGGGGTTTAGTAGGGATTAGGGTTCCCATAATAGGGTTCATATTAAGGAATCCCTACCCCAAGAATCTTAAACCCCCGTTTGGCCTCCTATCAGAGGTTTCATGAGCTTTCAAGCTTCGCTTTGGGGTTTCCGGGTTTGGGTTTAGGGTTTGGGGTTTAGGGGTTTGGGTTTAGGGTGTAGGCTTTCGGGGTTTGGGTTTCAGGGTTTAGGGTTTGTTTCGGGGTTTCGGTTTAGGGTTTAGGGTTTTGGGGCTTTCGGGGTTTTGGGGCTTGTAGGGTTTGAGCTTCAATGGCTGTAGGGTGTTGGGATCTTAGGGTTCAGGGGTTCGGGGTTGGGGGTGTAGAGGGATTTGTGGCTGTGTTGCTGGGCTGCCAGGATTTGGATGGTGTCTGGTCGGTTTCATGTAGGAATCATGCACAATGTTAAAGCATGCTTAGTTTGTGGATCCGCGGATGTTAGAACGAACTTTGCGGGCATTTTCGGACATGCTTCGCAGGCAAGACCTGCACTATAGGGGCCTAAATAACTACAATACTATTATGGGGGTTCCAGATCATGTTTACAGTAGGATGGGCCTCAAAACTCTATTCTAAGTATTAAGGCCTCTATATCGCCGTGGTCCTGAAGACTCATCACCGAAACCACCAACTCTAAATACCCTAAGCCCCAAACTCTAAACCCTACTGTAAATGTCAGGACATTCCGGTCTGCCTGGCGCTTGGTTTGCGTGATGCGTCAGCAGAATGCGTGCTTTTCAGAAACAGGGGTTTAGGTTTTGAGTGACTGGATAAAGGCTTCTAGCACAAGGAAGTATAGTCCCCTACCCCCTCCCCCTTCCTTTCTAAGAGTCCCTATGATAAACCTAAACCATTGGCCGCCCGCGCCCGGCGGCGGCCGGTACCACTGAACGCTACCGCTTCGAGATCTGCTTGCTTGGCCAAGCAGATCGAGTCTACCAGACCTGATTTGGCACTGCTAGCCATGGGGCACAATAGTAAAATTGGGTACCCTTATCTCCCAGCGCGAGGACCCTGGCGTGAGTTTGGCGGGGACGGCGCGCGACCCTGGCGGGGACGGCGGGCAACCCTGGCGGGGACGGCGGACGACTCAACAGCAAAAGAGCCAAAAACAGCTTGGCAGACGACTCTGGAGGGGGACGGCGGACGACCCTGGCAAGGACGGCGGGCGACCCTGGCGGGGACGGCGGACTTGGCGACTCTGACAGGGCCTGAAAAAGCCAAAAACAGCTTGGCAGACGACTCTGGAGGGGATGGCGCCTTATCTCCCAGCGCGAGAACCCTGGCGGGGACGGGACCTGGTAGAAAGAGCTTGACGAGCGACCCTGGCGGGGATGGCGAGTCCTCTGGCGGGGACGGCTGACGACCCTGGCGGGGACTTGGTGGACGGACGACTTTGGCGGGGACGGCGCGCGACCCTGGCGGGGACGGCGGGCAACCCTGGTGGGGACGGCGGACGACTCTGCTGTGACAGCAACTAAAAAGGCCAAAAACAGCTTGGCAGACGACTCTGGAAAGGGACGGCGGACGACCCTGGCGGGGACGGCGGGCGACCCTGGCGGGGACGGCGGACGACTCTGGCGGACTCTGTGACCCTGCGAGGACGGCGGACAACTCTGGTGGGGACTTGGCGATGACTTTGACAGGCACGAAAAGGCCAAAAACAGTTTGGCAGACGGACGACCCTGGCGGGGACGGCGGGCAACCCTAACGGGGACGGCGGACACTCTGGCGGGCACTTGGCTTTGACAGCAACTGAAAAGGCCAAAAACAGCTTGGCAGACGATTCTGGAGGACGGCGGACGACCCTGCCGGGGACGGCGGGCGATCGTGGCGGGGACGGCGGACGACGTAAGGACCTTGGCGGGGACAAGCGACCCTGGCGGGGACAGCGGGGTGACCCTGCGGGGACCCAGTGACGGGACGTCCTAGAAAGAGCTTGGGGACAGTGGCCGACTGGATGATCAGCACTCTTGGCCGGACTGGCACGGACAGCGGACGGCTGCAGACCACTTCTGGAGGCCTGGCACTGGGCCCTGACGGACGACTCTGACGACGGCTGACGGACGACTCTGGCGGCCGGCGAGGACGAGCGAGGGCGTCGCTGCTATTTTGTGACTACATCACTCGGATGTCCCTTTGACGTTCCGCAACATTGCAACGTCTTTTCGGCTAGTGCAGCACTCGAATAAGAAGAAGCAGAACACAAAACCCGTTCTAGTCCTGCTTCGGGTGGTTGTGGGTGGGTTCCACGTTACGAAGACGGCGCGACCCACGACCACTCCATGGGTGGGGCGCGCCGTGGCACTGTGACACACCCTAAACCCTAAACCCTAAAACCCTAAACCCTAAACCCTAAAACCCTAAACCCTAAACCCTAAACCCCTAAACCCTAAACCCTAAACCCCTAAACCCTAACCCCTAAACCCTAAACCCTAAACCGTGATAAACCTACCGAAGCAAAGAGTAGAGCCGAGGTGTAGCGACGTGGCCACGTAAACGCAGTGTGCACGGAGCCCAAGTGTACCGCTGCCGAAGTCGACTCGGCTTGCGACTACTGCTACTGCTACTGCTACTGCTACTACTACTACTACTACTACTACTGCTACTGCTACTGCTACTACTGCTACTACTGCTACTACTGCTACTACTGCTACTACTGCTACTACTGCTAGTACTGCTAGTACTGCTAGTACTGCTAGTACTGCTAGTACTGCTAGTACTGCTAGTACTGCTAGTACTGCTAGTACTGCTACTACTGCTACTGCTACTGCTACTGCTACTGCTACTGCTAGTACTGCTACTACTGCTACTGCTACTGCTACTGCTACTGCTACTGCTACTGCTACTGCTACTGCTGCTGCTGCTGCTGCTGCTACTGCTACTGCTACTGCTACTGCTACTGCTACCACCACTACCACTGCCACCGCTACTGCCACTGCCACTGCTCCTGCTACTGACGCTACTACTACTGCTACCACTACCACCACCAGCACCACCACCACAACCACAACCTAAACCCTAAACCCTAAACCCTAAACCCTAAACCCCTAAACCCCTAAACCCCTAAACCCTAAACCCCTAAACCTTAACCATCTCATCTCCGACCTCAGGTTGCGGAAGGTGCTGAAGAAGCTGTCCCGATACTGAGTGGCGGCGTAGAGCAAACAAAAGACATAAATAAATGTGAACACTGTATGTATGTGTGTGTATATATATATATATACTTATATGCGTGTATGCATGTGGATAGAAAGAAAGATGGAGCATGCGTACCTGCCGCTCTCTCTCAGCAATGTCCGCGGCTAGCAGCAAAAACAGAGCGTGCTCTACAAGCCGTAATAGGCCCCTCAAAACTAAACCCATCGGCTGCCAGACGGAAAAGCTCTCCCACCAAACCAACTAAAACTAATAAACCCTACGTATGTCAGAGGCCCCCAGAGTTAGATCGGGGTTGTGGGCGTATGTTGAAGAATGGCCATATAGTCGCTAAAAGACCTAGAAACCCTACACCCTAAACCCCAAACCCTAAATGCCCTAAAGCCTAAACCCGAAACCCAAACCCTAAAGACCTAGAAATTTCGTGGCCATACGACTTCGACTAGTCGCATGTTATAGTTTTGTCATACAGGGACTGTAAGGGGATGTGATTGCCAGCAGAATTCCGACCCTTTTTCTGAAACCCAAAGACAATATCTGTCATCATCAGTGAGTAATGTTCTAACTGAGCAACTGCAACGGCCCTGTGTGTATAACCACCGCTATTAAGGTCATCATAGAGCGCTTCTTTTATCACCCGAGACCCTTAACCCCAAACCTCAACTCCCCCTCCCTAAATCCTAAACTTCACGGTTTAGGGTTTAGGGTTTAGGGCTAAACGACGATGGCAGGATGTGAAGCGCGGCGTTGCGATCCTCCATCGGCCCGGGGGCAGCGAGCGCGATGCGAAGGCAAGGTCGGTCAAGCCAAAACCCTGGACCCAAATTGGCTTTGGGGTTTAGGGTTTAGGGTTTGGGGTTTAGGGTTTAGGGTTTAGTGCACTTATGTACCCTTACATTCAAAGATACATTCGCCGCAAATCCGTCCACTACTTCGTGACTACACGACCAGTGTGCCGTTGCCAGATTGAAGTGGCTAGTAGCGGCTAGGGTGGTATTGTCATTCCCAAGTTTGCAGAGGTTTCCTCAAAGAACTTGTAAGCACCCGCTACAAAGGTTGTAATCGTAACGGCGTGTAAAGCCACCGGTCTTTACATTTTTGAGCTACGCAATACTTATGACTGCATTGTCCGGTACAGTGTAAGGGGAACTCCAGAAAGTTGGAATATGGTTTCAGGGTAGGATACCTTATAATTTACCATAAAGGGTTTAGGATAATCGTCATATTCCAACTTTCTGGCTTTTACTTTACCAGCCAACCAAGTGGCCAATTTTTACCGACTACCAGCTCACCAACTAGGATGCCCAGTAGTACCCTTATTCCCTTTTTCTAGTCCTAGGTTCCTTATGAAGTTACCCAATACCAAGAAGAAAGGCCTTTTTATTCTTAGGTTATTGGGTATCCTAGCCAATTAACCGGTAATCAGGTACTGTGTCCCTGACTCTGACTGGCATGAAAAGAGACTGAGCGAGCTAGCTAGGCTAGCACCAACTAAGTAACCAGCTAACTAACCAGCTAGCTGGCTGGCTGGCTGGCTGACCAAGTAACTGCTTACCTAGCTACACAACTAGCTACGTACTTGCGCAACTGCCAACTATCCAGCTACGGAACCACATAACTTAACCAAGTAACTAACCGACTTACGAATTAGTCAACGAACTAGCCAACGAACCAGCCAACAGACAAACTAGCTAGCTAGCTAGCTTCCAACTTACCTACCGACATACCCATAACCAACCAACCCAACCAGGCAGCCAATCAGCCAGCCAGCCAAGCCACCTAGCAACCAAGCGAGCAAGCAAGCAACCAACCAACGGACTAAAGAACCAACCAATGAACGAACGAACGAATTAACGAACTAGCTAGCTGGCTAGCTCGCTACCTAACTAGCTACCTAACTACCTAACCACCCACCCAGCCCTAAACCCTGAAGCCAGCCCAGCCCTGCGCAAAATAGCACAGGACTTCACGTTCGACGCCGTCTTCAACGCTGACATGACCCAGCAGCAGGCCCCTGATATAGGGGCCTTAATAATTACCCATTCCTTTAAAGGGGTCCTTGAAAGGGCTACTATAAGGGCTATTCTAGGGATTTAGTGTATAGGGGCTTAAATAATTGCCAATACTATTTTGGGGGTTCCTGATTATGGTTATACCATTAAGGCCCCTACTAAGCGTCACCGTGGATGTGAGATCTCTTGACAGCCTCATGTCTAGGCGACTCTGCCGATGCCCACATGTAGAAGACGGCAGGCATAGTGGAGGAACAGGTATTTCGGGGTTGGGTCGCAACTGTGGAGGGTGACAGCTGCCAAACCGCTTCAGATCTTTGATGACACTGCAGCGGACATTCTGGACAGCGTCATGGACGGCCTGCGACACAGAATCTGAAATCAGTCGCATGGGTGTGATTACGAAGGAGCGTCTCTCTGTCCGTCTCTTGTGGGCATGTGACTTTGCTTGTGCCTCGGTGACTGCACACGCATTTTGTGTGGGCTTTTCGTCACGCAGCACACATTTCCATGAGCTTCAGCAACAGAGTTCTCGCAACCCAGACCCCACGGTTTACTGGCATTAGCAACCCACAAACTGGTCGTGCTTGATTACCCTTAGGGGTACTTAGAAATGGTTTTTAACTTTTGGCGATTATAATCCCTAAGAAACAGCTAAAATTACAAGTTTTGCTGGGGTTCTAAGTTCAGTATGGTGCCGTACCTTTAATGGGGACACAAAAAGGGACCCTAATTTAAAGAACTACCCTTTTATAGGTCCCCTCTCCCTTTTGGGCTAAGTTCAGTAAAATACCATCTTTCTCGTTGCTGCCATGTCGATCGAAGATTCCTTCACTTAGAGCACTCGGGGTTGGTTGCAATTAATTGTGTGCTTGGATAAATGCGTATTTGTGGGGTTTGGGTTTAGGGTTTAGGGTTCAGGGTTAGGGCGTATTTGTGGGGTTTGGGTTTAGGGTTAGGGCGTATTTGTGGGGTTTGAGTTTAGGGCCTAGGGGCAGGGCAGCATTTCCCCAAAGCCCTCTTCTATCTCTGCAAGCCAGGCACATGATACTTGGAGGATCATGGGACTTAGTGAGTAGGGCTATAAGTCCCTTAATTGGGGTTACGAGTATATTAACTGTAGTTACTTTACTTATAACCCTACTTACTAAGTCCCATGATCCTTTAAGTAGAGCTCAGGAGCCGAAGTGCGTTGATCTCGCACCACACATGGGTGGTTGTCAAAATTAGGGTCCCTTTCTCCGTACTATATACGTAAGGGATCCAAAAGGGACCATAATTTTGACAACCACCCTTTTTGGATCCCTAATACAATACGGAATAAGGGGCCCTAATTTTGACAACCACCCCACATGCTTGCAATTTCCTCGTCGCTCTAGTGCTCAGATCTACAGTCGCTTACCAGCCCAGCGTATTCCCTGCGTTGCGGAATGATGGCTCTGAGGGCTTTCGCATTCGCTGCCGCACTTACTTCAGCTGTTGCCGAGGATCCGGGGAGGGAGGTTAGTGTGAGTATTCAGTATTCCGACTCCAACAGCAAAAGCCCTAAACCCTCAATCCCCAGTAACGTATACCCTACTCTAAACTTGCCCTAAACCCTGAGCTCCAAAACCCCGGTTCACTTCCAAACGTTGTTCCTCACAATTTGGGGTTCAGGGTTTAAAGTCTAGGGTTCAGGGTTTGGGCAGTGGTCTGAGGAAGTCAGTACAGTGAAAGTAGGGGTTCCTTCCAGTTCCTTAGTTTGGTCATAACCCAATACTCCAAAAGGCCCAAAACCCTATTCTGACCATGAAGGCGCGTAGTTTTGCTCGGTTTGAACCCTAAATCCTAAACTCTAAACCCTAAACCCTAAACTCAAAACCCTAAACTCTAAACCCTAAGCCCGTTTTTGAAGCACCCAGATGACTCCGGTTCTTGCAGGAGCAAGTGCAGCTCAGGGGAAGCGGCATCAGTGTCGCCGGGGAGAATGCAACGATTCTGACGAAAAGTGCTGTGAAGAAGGCTTCCTCTTCGGCGCACCTGGCATGGAGCCTCGGCCATTGCGGGCTCTTGCGGAACACTCAGACAAGTCTTGGGGTTAGGTTTTTTGTTGATCGAGTTTCGTTGTTGTTTCTGAGCGAGGTGGTCTCCGACTCGTGTAGTTTTCAGGGGACGCGAAGAGTACTATAGGGGCTTTATTTAATATTTACCTATACTATTTGGCGGCTCCTTTATTATAATTAAAGTATTAGGGCCCCAAAACCCTATTCTATGTAAAGCCGTTTATGAAACCTTGAGCCCAAACCATGCATAAGCTGCAGCTTAAGCTTCGCAGAAACCAAACAAAACCGAGCAGAAGCGTTCCGCATGAAACTTCGAAAATCTGGCTTGTTCGAACCCACAAGTTGCAAGCACGAAGAGAAGTCGGGAGATTTCTTCCGTTTGGGGGTGCCTTTGCATCCAACAAGGATCCTGTCATTCATGTAAGGTCTGTTTAGGGTCTAATTAGGGTTTAGGATTTAGGGTTTAGGGTTTAGGATTTAGGGTTTAGGGTTTAGGATTTAGGGTTTAGGGTTTAGGATTTAGGGTTTAGGGTTTAGGATTTAGGGTTTAGGGTTTAGGGTTTGGGGTCAAGCCTTCAACCCTTGGCCCCTCTTGTCTTTGAAGCTCCCAGATCTGTCCTAGTAGGGGCCGCAGCTCGTTTGTGCAATGCAAGCAATATAGGGGTCGGAATAAGTACCGATAGTATTCCCTAGGGCCTCTTGTGATAATCAGAGTCCAAAACGCTAATCTAATTCTTAGGGGCCCCCTGTAATAGCGAAATAAGCTGAATGATTAGTCATACCAGTCCAAGGAGATCCTCGTAGGGTTTATGGTTTTGGGGTTTAGGGTTTAGTAGGGTTTAGGTAGGGGTTCCCCGACTTTGCGTATTTCCTACGGTTGATGGGTCATGGTCTATGGGGCGCCCTGAAGGGCCCGAAGAAGCAGCGCCCATTGATACTTTGTACCGGGTCTACTCTTCAAGTCTTCAAACCCCAAGTCCTCAACCCAGACCTAAACACTAAACCAAACTTAGGGGTACTTAAAACCATTTTTTACTTTTTGGTTATTGTAATCCCTAAGAAACAGCTAAAATTACAATTTTTGCCAGGGCTCTAAGTTCAGTATAGTAAACTACAAGCCCCCCCAACCCTCACTCCCCACACCCGTAACCCATCCTTGCTCGCCCCGAGGATGCCGGACTTGTCGTTTTGCCTCTCCAGCGACGGAAACCGCATCGGCAACGGTGCTCCGACGGCCAAGGGGACCCCACATCCCAGCGATCGGTGGGCATGTCAATGTAGGCTTAGGGTTCGGGGGAGCAGTAGCAGTAGCAGTATAGTAGTAGTAGTCGTAGAAGTGGTAGTAGTAGTAGTAGTAGTAGTAGTAGTAGTAGTAGTAGTAGTAGTAGTAGTAGTAGTAGCAGTAGCAGTAGTAGTAGTAGTAGTAGTAGTAGTAGTAGTAGTAGTAGTAGTAGTAGTAGTAGTAGTAGTAGTAGTAGTAGTGGTAATGGTAGTGGTAGTGGTAGTGGTAGTGGTAGTGGTAGTGGTAGTGGTAGTGGTAGCAGTAGTAGTAGTAGTAGTAGTAGTAGTAGTAGTAGTAGTAGCAGTAGTAGTAGTAGTGGTGGTAGTAGTGGTAGTAGTAGTAGGAGTAGCAGTAGCAGTAGTAGCAGTAGTAGCAGTAGTAGTAGTAGTAGTAGCTACACCCTAAGCCAGCTACCCCAAGCCCACGAGGTGTGAAGGTTCAGCTCTGGCACTGCGATCAGAAGTGGCACAGCGGCGGGCAGAACTTCTTCATGGACGAGGCCGGTCGCATCAGGATGCATCAGCGCCTGGGACGTGTTAATGCATGCGCCTTAATAATTAGAACGAGGTTTTGGAGTATATATTTTACAAAAGCTATAACCAGGACCCCCCTCAAAAAAATAGTACCGGTAATTATTAAGGCCCCTATATGCGGGTTTCGTTTCGGGTGTCCTGTTTTGGGCTTCGGGTTTCGGGTTTGAGCCAGGCTAGGGTTTAGGGTTCAGGGTGCATCAGGGCCTCGGAGGATTTCTTCTTTCTGGAGGTTCAGGGGTTCAGGGCGTCTTCTGCCCGTTTCAACCTGCATCCTGCGGAAAGCATAGACAAGACTGCGGCGTGCAACGAACAAGACGAGCGATGTACGCTGGAGTGCAGCTCAATTCATACCGTTGAATAGCGCTGGAAGTCGCCATTCGCTGCTACACATTGGGTTTTGCATCATTACGCAGAGCGCTCATGCACAGTGCCCAGGAATCCGGATTACTGCGTTGTGATCGACGGCGACAGGTATGAGAATGGAGCGAAGATTCAGCCACGTGGTGAATATTTCAGAGGTGGGATCTCGTTTGATACTGATCTCCCGGATTTCCGCGTTTACGGCTAGTGCAAATTGAGCTTGAACCTTAGCAGGTTGTTGAACTTTGCAAAACGGCTTGCAACTATCCTTCTACACGGGGGCACCTGCTACTTACAAGGTGACAGCTGCAGCAATTGGAGGGGTAATGCCATCATGTCAGTGTCGTTTTGCCTGGCGACCTGTCCTGTTGGCGTTGCAAGTAGAATGTGGCGCTAGTCCTACTTTTGACGAAGCAATGGCTTCCCCTAAACCCTAAACCCTAGATTATCCCGAGTGCTTCACCTAGACCCTAAGCTAAGCACCTTCAGCCCTAAACTCCAAAGTTATGCATATGGGAGTTTCCGAAAATAGGGGTACCTTATTTTAGGGGTCCTTATAATAAGGCTCCTACTATTTGGGGTACTATGTTAGGGTCCCCTATTTTTGGAAACTCCCATATCCTCCCCAATACTGCTTAGCGAATATCTGTCTCTTGCCCGAGATTTTAGACCCGAACCTGAAAGGCCCCCCCGCTACCATAGAACCCTGCAGGCCCCCCAATTGAGCTGTATGAGAGATTGATTGCGGTTTAGGGTTTAGGGTTTAGGGTTTAGGGTTTAGGGTCTAAACTCTATATTCCTAAACCCTGAACCCATGCTGTACCCAGCAGAGGCTCTGGAAGTGCAGCGACAGCAACAAGATGCTTGCCACGCAGAGAGTGTGGCCACAGAACTAGGTACCGACTTGGGATAAATGTCGGTTTTCCGCATTGTTTGAATGTAGGGCCGCTTCTATAAGGGATTGCAGTTTGAGGTTCTGAGGTTTTGGGCGTGTGCCTAATCATGGGTACAAGGACAGATAGACTCAGCGACCACATCTGGATGACAAAACACCTTTTGTACATGGCACGTAGATACAAGCTTGCGGACAGGTAAGCGAAACTCCAACATTGGTGTGAATGTAAACTTCATTTTTGGCCTACAGTTTTGCTAATAATTGTACTGTAAGTATCGGTTGTATACGTGAGTGTGTGTATGTGGCATTGCTTTCGGGCTTGTTGTTTGGTGGTAGTGGTAGTGGTAGTGGTAGTGGCAGTGGTAGTGGCAGTGGCAGTGGCAGTGGCAGTGGCAGTGGCAGTGGCAGTGGCAGTGGCAGTGGCACCAGCAGCAGGCACAGGCACAGGCGAAGCCGCAGGCGTAGGACCGGAGCAGCAGTACCAGAAAGACAGAGGCTTCAATCAGTGGAACAGGGCTTTGGAGTACATCATGCTTGGATGACAGCCAGGAACGTGGAGGAAATAACACTATAGTCACAATTCTGGAACAGTGGCCTCTGTGCCACGCGGGCTTGGCGACACGAAAGCGTCTATCGAAAATCTGCGTCCACAAAGAAGTGCAAAGAATGTCACGTCGACGAGCGCCACTCTAAACTCTAAACCCTAAAACTCTCAACCCGAAGCCCGAAACCCGAACGAGTTGCATCTGGAAAAAATCGCAGTTGTCACATGCCGGCCACGATCCTGCTCAACCCCCCAGCGACTTCCATTTTAATCTAGGTTCCTGAGTGGTACCCTTTTGCCCTTTTTGTTTAGGGGTCGGCTTTAATACAGTAGTAGGAGAAAGGGTACCCTTATTCCAAGGGGGCTACTCAGGAACCTATAGTAGAAGCCAGAAAGTTGGAATATCATTATCCTAAGCCCTTTAAGGTAAATTATGGGGGATCCTACCATTAATCCATATTCCAACTTTCTGGAGTTCCCTTTAGTATTTCCGAGGCACCAGACCTGGGTCTTCAACAACGTCGGACAGACACTTGGGCACACACACATCAAAAGGATTTGGTTTCGGGTTTAGGGCTTCGGGTTTTCGGCATCATCTTTAGCACCTTAGGGCAAGTTTTTTTTTCCCGGGTTTTAGGGTGTTGGGGCTTTGTGTGGCTTTAGGGGTTTAGGTTTTTGGTGGTTTAGGGTTTTGTGGGTTTAGGGCTGTGGGGTTTAGGAACGTCCAGGTTCTGCTGCAAGCAAGATGATGGTCCCAGAATCTGAAGAAGCCCCCGAGCCCCAGTGTACACCCTGGCCCTAACCCTACCTCAACCTGACGATCAATTGCAGCCAAATCCGACCCCCAACTTATCCAAAGGGACTAGGTCTACTGGGGTATAGAATGTCAGATTTGCTCAGGGACTCTTCAGGAACATGATTGATATTTATTTGGGCTTCGTGTGTTATTGGATGATGTCACATCTGGTGCCTGAGACAACAAGCAGTCACCCACAGCCCCCCAAGTCCTGAGCTGCTGTTACACAGGAAGTATTGCCATATTGGCCGACACGCTTCGGATTTCCTGGTTTTGTCAATGGCAGCAGTACTAGTAACCTGAGAACTGCCGTGCTGAAGACAAAGCGCAACTGCGATGCCGCTATGCAGCGAGTACTTTTGCCATGGTCTGCAGTACTAGTAAGTACGAAGAACCAGCAGGACAACTGCAGTAGCAACAATCGTGGTGGCAGCAGCCCTGACATTCAGGTCCGGAACAAAAGCCAATATAATGCCCTTACAGTTACCCTACAACCAATAATGTACCACGATTACCCTGTTCCACTCAATAAGGCCCATGCATTAATTGGAGCACCACCCCAAATCCTACAGACCACTCCTCCTCCACCTCCTCCTCAAATCCGAAACTTCTTAGCTGCAGACGAGAATCATTCATCGAACAGCAGCAGTCCTGCCAGCAAGCCTTCTAATGACAACAGCGCTACCTAACAAAGGTTGGTGTCATGGTGTTTCTACCACCTTTTCAACCTAAACCCTAAACCCCAAACCCTCAACCCTAAACAGTCGTAAGTAGAAGCCCAGCAAGCTCTTACTTACCCCGACACCCTAACTCGGCATCAGGATCGAGGCCCGGAACGCCCCCAACCAGATGTGCCTGGTGATCGACGGCAACCAGGCGTTCAACGGGGCGAAGATCCAACTGTGGCTGGCGCAGCAAGCAACCAACCCTACTTACTATGGGGGGGGGGGTGAAGAACTACAAACACTACCCGCTAGGACAGAAGTGTAGTAATGTTGGTTTCGTACTAACCCCCCCCTCTCTCGATTGATTTTAGGACTCGGCAGGTTTGATTCTACTCTGGGTGGAGCTGGCCCCAAGGCTCTTTTCGGAACCAGAGACGGGATTGCTATTGAGCTCCGATCCCGTTTTATAACTCAGCGGGGGTTGATACTTGAGTTGCTGGGATCGGTTTTTCAACAAAGGGCGGGGCGTTTACAGTTATAAGTCAACATTATGCTTTTCCCCAAGCCCTAAGGGTTCATGTAGGGTTTAGGGTTTAGGGAGTTGAGAAACCCTGAATCCTAGACAGGTCAGGGATCTGTCTGATGTCTGGAGCTTTTGGTGGAAAAAGGGGCTTTAACAACACAGCAAGCCGGGAATTCAGGCAAGCAGATCCGGAAGCCATGGCGACGGGATTTAGGCAACAACTGGAGAGAATTCATTCTAAACCTTAAACCCTAAACCCCTCAACCCCAAACCCTAAAGGGAAAGCTGAGACAACAAACCGCTGCACCGGTCTTAGATCTTAGTTGCCCCGGTATGGCCCCAGAAAAGCACATAAGCAATAGCCATACCATATAACCCCCCTTATAATGAAGCTCAATAAGGGAGGGATCTCCTCATAAGATGCTTATGCTTATGTGCTTTTCGGGTCCCTACTTGGAGGGTCGGGGGACTTAGTAACTGGTTATTTTAGGGACTGATATGTACCATAACCCCAATTAAGGTCCCTTTTAGGGTACCTATAAGTCTACTTACTAACTACTTACTAAGTCCCCCGACCCCCCAAGTAACCAGGTGGTCTTGCCAGTGGTCTTCTAGCAAGCTCCAGGCAGGGCTGGGGTTGAGGCTCAGCTCTGCACCAACTTATAGATGGGTAGTTGTCAAAATTCGGGTCCCTTTTTGGGTACCGATTATAATACGGCACCTAATATTTAGGGTACCCAAAAAGGGACCCCACCCAGGATGGGTTTCGGGTTTAGGCTTTTGGGGTTTAGGTTTGAGTGATTTGGGCTGGGCCTCCTGGCAAGATTTTCAGGTTCTCCTCTGCCATCTCTGTAAAGAGAAACTACCCTAAACCCGAAACCGAAACCCTAAGCCCGAAACCCTCAGCCCTAAACCCTCGCCCTCAACCCTAAAGCCTAAAACCTAAACCTTAAACCCAAAAGCCTAAACCCTAAACCTTAAAGCCTAAAGCCCTACACCCTACACCTTAAGTCTTTAAGCTCTCCCTGCCATATGGGAGTTTCCGACCATAGGGAACCCGAATATAGCCCCCTAAACAGTCGGATCCTTATTGTAAGGACCCTTAAATCAGGTACCCCTTATTTTCAGAAACTCTAAACCCTAAACTGACCCTAAACCCTTTATAGAACCCTTATAGATCCCTTTTAAGTAACCCTTTAAGGATCCCTTTAAAAGGTACCCCTTCTTTTCGGAAATATCAGCACCGAAGCTTCCGCCCTCGGCCCTGCGCCCACTGGAAGCCCGGAGTTCCAAACACACACAATGTTTGGCTAAAATAGTAGGATCCTTATGATAAGGACCCCCAAATAAGGTACCCCTAATTTTCGGAAACTCCCATATACATCATTTAGAAGGGGCCCCAACCCTGTAATAGTGGTATAATAGGAATAGAATAGGGCCCAAATATAAAATCCTTATAGTGACGATTACAGAGTGAGGGGCAGCTTCTAACTTATATCATGCTATACTCTTTGCTTATGTTTTTTGTTTATGAAGTGCTAGCCTGTTTCTGACTCCTAGTAGTCGAGTAGGTAACCTTTAACCTTTTTCCTGGGTTTGGAGTACCATACTTGAATACGTTTTTTGGTACCTGTTCCTGAAAGGAACCATTATGAAATAAAAGTCTATACTCTTTTCCCCTTGGTTGCTTCAAAGTCCAGTTTTTGGGTAGTATAGTCCCTATATAACCCCATATAACCAAACAGGTAAACCTTTAGTTCTTCATGAGACCCGACAAGTATGTATCGTATCATACTATGCTATTTGCATATCTTTTTTAAAGTATTAGCCTGTATCAGACTGTAGGAGACTACATTTTTACGGTCTTATACTCTCTTCGGTTTCTGAGACTATGTCATCGATTTTTTGCTTTGCTATCTTAAGCCATTAAGCACTATAGATACCATTTGTTAACATATTATGTTTGATCATTCGGCTCTAAGCCCTATAAGCCCTTCATGCTTACTTGGAGGGTCGGGGGACTTAGTAACTGGTTATTTTAGGGACTTTTAAGTACCATAACCCCAATTAGGGTCCCTTTTAGGGTACCTATAAGTCTACTTACTACCTACTTACTAAGTCCCCCGACCCTCCAAGTAAGCGCATAGTAGATTGCCGTACTGTCTCCCGCAGACTTTGCCTCGCGCGTCAATGGTTCTTACGATCCCTAAACACTCAACCCTCAACCCTTGAGTTTAAGGGCTTTAGGGCTTTAGGATTCCTCTAAAGGGGGTCTGTAGGGGTTACTATAAGGGTTCCCACAAGGGTTAGCATGAGGGTTCCCATAAGGGTTACTATAGGGTGTGGTGCTTTAGGGGGTTTAGTGTGCTGTTTAAGGTCTCATTTAGTCTTGGGGCCTCTTGTGTGTCACGAGAATCCTCTTCTCCAGCGACGGTGGTTCTGCTAAGGCTTTAGGGTTGAGGGTATAGGGTTGAGGGTTTAGGCTTTATGGTCTCGGTATTACGGTTGTGAGTTTCTCACACATCTCCTTACAGATTCCCGTCATTTTCTGATTCATTATGTCGCCCGTACATACCTACACAACCGAGACCCCTACAGCCACACCTTAAGCCCACAAAACTCAAGATGTCAAGGCCCCAAATGCCGAATCCTAAAGTTCTAAAAGCCCTGGCCTAGCCGCTCTAAAACTCCTATAGAAATCCTACAGAAACCATAGACAACCCTAACATTCTGGTGTTCCTGAACTCCGAAGAAACTCCACAAAACCATAAGACCCAGCAGTTCCTAAAGTCCTAGGCAGTGTTAGGGAGACCCCTTAAAAGGGGACCCTGCCTAACCCTACTGATGGCTCTCTGAAAAGGGACCGTGTCCCCCTAGTCCTAACTCCTCTACGAAACCCTAAACCTTAAGCCCTAATCCCAAATCCTAAACCCTAAACTCGTAAGCCGATGTAGTGTACGCCCGGAGAGGCTGGGCTCAAGTCCCACTCTGCGTGCGGAGTGAGAAAGAGTCATTGTACTTAAAAAAACCGTAAACCCTATGTAATCCCTAAACCCCATATTGCACTTAAAAAAAACCCTAAACCCTATGTAATCCCTAAACAACCATATAAACCCTACAGCAGTTCCATAAAAGAGGACTGGGTGAAGATCGCCTTGGGCCCTTCTGGGTCTCGAGCCTACGCACTCCCCAACGAGGAGTCGAAGTGGTGCGTTTTTTTCTAGGGTGGGTTTTCTAGGGTTCACGTTTTTTTTTGGGTTTTTAAAGTTTTTAGAGGGTTTAGGGTTTTTGGGGTTTTAGGGTTTAGGGTTTTGAGGGTTTTGAGGGTTTTTAGTTTTTGAGGTTTTGTTTTTTTTTTAGGGTTTCTGGAGTCGAAGTGTTGCGGGTTAGGCTGGGATAGCTACGGCTTAGCGTTGAGGGGTTGAGGGTTATTGGGGATGTTTAGGAGATTAACAGTTTAGGGTTTAAGGTCCAGGGCTTTGGGTTTAGAATTTAGATTCAGGGTTTGTGTTTGTTTTGGGGTTTCGGGTTTAGGGATTTTTGTTTTTTTGGCTTAGGGTTTAGTTTTTGTGTTGGTTCAGGGTTCAGGGTTTTTGGGGTTTACGGTGAAGGGTGTTGGGGTTGCAACCTTAGGAGGCGCAGCGGCATCGGTCATGGCTTCCTTCGTCACGTCTGCGTTGTGAAGCCAAGGCTTTGGGGGCAAGAGAAACAGTTGGCGACTAAAGCAGGCTTGCGTCGGACATGCCCTGAAACCCGAAAGCCCAGACTGCTAATGTAGGAACCTGATTAAGAAACCCTGGTCCTGTAACCCCAAAATAGAAGGATTCATGTAAGG